CGGAAAAGAAAGGAAAAGGTTGAATTAGCCAATCATTTTACAGAAGAAGTCCCTGACAATTCACTATTAATAGTAGCGTGAATTTTCCACGAGGTTGAAGAAAGCTTGACCCCTCTAGTCATGTACCATAATGGGGATGATTGACAAATAGAAAGGAATCGCAATAAATAAATAAGTCTTTTACTACATATGAGGTGTACAAATACGCTTGAATCCTTTGTTGGGAGCTACACGACATCATTATGCACGGCATTTGAGCAAGGGGGCATTCCGAATTTAAATGACTCGCTCAAAAATCACGCATGTAGGGGGCTGAAAAGGAAATGAAATTGGAGAAAAATACAGAAAAAAGGAAAAAGGAATCAACCAACCTGGAAGAGTGTACTCCGGAAAGGAAAAAAAAGAAAAAAAACTCTGCCTGGAAATTCGCCATTCGGCGGGTTCTACCATTCAGAGTGCCGAACGGCAATTGTCAACGCGGCCAACTTGGAACATCTCAACCCTCCACTTTCGGGGAGTATGGGGGGGGGGCAATGGGGGCTACACCGGGGGCCCAATTCTATTTTCCCATCGTTTCCGCCCGACGATATTCTCATCAGGTACCTTCCGTGTTCCTTTTCCTATCATAGATTGCAAACCTCACACGGCAGGCTCCGCACGCCGTCTCCCGTACGGAGATGCCCTGCTAGGTATAGTGTGGCCCCGCTCGAGTTAGGGCTTCTGGAACTTCGATCCCTGGTGGTTGCTGACCAATTATTGGTTTTCCCCCCCCACCCCCTTTGATGGACTCGTACTTAGTGCTCGGAGTTTAGCCTGTACTCAATTTGTATGGATTGGCACCGAGAAGATCCACTTCGGCACCAACTGCGGCTCTGGAAGCTCGCTGAGGTGGAGACCCTGTCCGTCGGCGGATCCATCGCCGTGTCTCCCCGGCCTATGTAGCCACTCACAGCCCTGTATTTCTATTCGGAGAATGCAGTTCGAGACCTACCGTGTACTCTACTGTCCAGTCTTCAGTCCTGCAGAGAACAGCATGATAGACTCCTCACACGGGACCCGCCATACCGTGTATCCCTCTTCACGCTGCAGCAGCATCCGGGATGGTCCCTATGTCTCTCCCTTATACCAGCAGACATGCTGACGTTTACTGGGTACAAGTTGGTTGTTCTGAAGCGTACTTCGTACAATTACCCTCAATCCAGCCCTGCTCCACCCTTGCTCAAGCTCCCCGATCTGATCCATTCCACTCCGCGCGCAACGGTTCGCTACCATCACCGAATATCCACATCTAGGTCCCACGCCGCGACCCCTTCCCAACCCCCGAATCTTTCCGATTCTCCAAATCATGCCTCGTCTTTTACTGAGCCTTGACCGTCCTTCCCCTCTTGCCGTCCCGGCGGATTCTCATTGCTCGGAATGTCCTGGATGATGTGCGCTCGTGTGTCCCAACGGACGCCTAGTGTGTTCCGCGCACTTAAAACCATGCCACGCTCGCCTCGTCTTCGCCTCTCTTCTTTCTATCATTCTTCCCCTTCCGCGACAAGTAAGCTTGCACGCACTCAGTCAGACACAATGGCACGATTTTCTCCTCAACAAAGCCGGCCCGTCCATGCGACCCCGTTCATGAACCACTCCAACACTCCCTCGTAAGTTTTCTCATGGCATAGCACCATATCTTTCTCCGCAGAGATCAATCAATTTACTAACCTCGCAATGGCTTTTTTTCTAGTGACGCCAACTATGACACCGCCAACCCTTCTTACATTCGCAAGTACCTGCGCACATACGGCCTGACTCCTCCTCGCGCCGAGAGCTACGAGACCCAAAAGACACGATGCCTGGCCCAGCTTGGTCTGAAGAACACCTCCATCGACAAGTTCCAATATCTCAGCACTCTGCGCAAAAACAATGTCCACCTTTTCTACCGCCTGGTCACCGACCACCTCAGGGTACGTCAGGAATTCCCCATAGAAAAAGAGTCATAGAGTCATAGTGGCCATCACTTTCATGTGATTGGACCGCATGTGCTAGTCACACTAGGAAAGGGCACTAACAACCCCTGCAGGAATTGACGCCCTTGATCTACACTCCCGTCGTTGGCGAGGCCTGCCAGCGCTGGTCCGAGATCTACCAACAGCCCGAGGGTGAGTTAAATTAACCTAGTCCCATTGGGAGTGGTTCCGAGGTTTCGGAAGCGCATCCTTCTTCCCCACGAATTCAAACCGGAGTTAGTGCTAACATGACTCAATTTAGGCATGTACTTGTCATGGGAGGACCGCGGCAATCTGGCTGCTGTCATTGCCAATTGGCCCCAGCCCAATGTTGAGATCACATGTATCACCGATGGTTCCCGTATTCTCGGACTGGGTGATCTGGGTATCAACGGTATGGGTATCCCCATTGGTAAATTGGCGCTTTACACTGCCTGCGCTGGTATTCGTCCCGAAGCCACTCTTCCCTTGACTCTCGATCTCGGAACTGGCAACAAGACCCTCCGGGAAGACCCGCTCTACATGGGTTCTCGTCGTGACAAGATCAGCGCCGAAGAGGAGCGCGAGTTTATGGATGAGTTGATGTCTGCTCTCACCGAGCGCTGGCCTGGGTAAGTCAAGTCTTATTTTCTTCTTCCTGCATGTCCATTTTCGTCACCTCGTGTCCCCATCGTGTGTTTCCGGGTAGATCTGATCCACTTATTCCCCCCGGTCTTACTCGCTCTTCCCCCTCATCTCTCCGCATGGACTCCCCTCATTCGAAAATCATTTCCCCATCGCTTCCCCTCGCAGGGCTTGAGCTCGGCTAATCGAAGCTTTTATAGTATCGTCATCCAATTTGAGGATTTCAAGAACCCCTTCCCCGCTCTGGAGCGTTACCGCGACACCTACACCTGCTTTAACGATGATATCCAGGGTACTGGTGCCGTTATTCTCGGAGGTGTTATCAACGCCGTCAAGCGTTCCGGTCTTCCCTGCAAGGACCACCGTGCTGTCTTCCTCGGTGCCGGCTCCGCTGGTGTTGGTGTTGCTAAGCAGATTGTCGAGTTCTTCATCCGTGAGGGCATGACCGAGGATGAGGCCCGTAACTGCTTCTACCTTGTCGACACCAAGGGTCTTGTCACTGCTGACCGTGGTGACAAGCTCGCTGACCACAAGGTCTACTTCGCTCGCCAGGACAATGCTGGCCAGCAGTGGAAGACCCTCGAGGAGGTCGTCAACCACGTCAAGCCCACCATTCTGATGGGTCTGTCTACCATCGGCGGTGTCTTTACCCCCGAGATCCTCCGCAACATGGCCGACTGGAACACCGCCCCTATCATCTTCCCCCTCTCCAACCCTTCCTCCAAGTCTGAGTGTGACTTCGAGTCCGCCGTCAAGAACACTGATGGTCGCTGCCTCTTTGCCTCCGGCTCTCCCTTCCCTAACTGCACTTTCACCAACTCTGCCGGCGAGACCAAGACCTACTACCCTGGCCAGGGTAACAACATGTATGTCTTCCCTGGTATCGGTCTGGGTAGCATTCTGTCCAAGTCCGTCCGTGTCACCGACAGCATGATCTACGCCTCCGGCGAGTCTCTATCTGCTGCCCTGACTGCTGAGGAGCTTGAGCGTGGTCTGCTCTACCCTGACATCACCCGCATTCGCGAGGTTAGCATCGTCGTTACCCGCAAGGTTATTCGTGCTGCCCAGAATGACAAGGTTGATCGCGAGACCCACCTCCGCAACATGTCCGATGCCGATCTGGATAACTGGATCAAGTCCCGCATGTACGACCCCCACACCGAGGTCCGCGAACTCGAGCGTGAGGTCGGCCACCTGCTCTCCAGCCTGGGCAACCTCCCCCCCCTGATGAACGGTTCCCCCACCGAAGAGAACGGCTCCAAGCTGTAAAAAAGGTCTTCCTTGACCACCACTTTCTTGCGGTCTTCAGGACTGGATCTTGTCGATGGCGTGATCTCAATTTTAGTGCATCTGTTCCTTTGTTCTAATATCCGCGCCAGGCTCACTGCGTGAGAACCCCTGCACCTCTTCATCTTTCAGCGTTGTTAATTTTCGGACCGGGTCATTTTTTTTCTTTTCTTGTTCTCTTTTTTTTCCACCACCTTTTTTTGTTTGCCTTGGTCTTCTCATGGAATACCCTGCCATCACGTTTTATTCTGTCGTATGGCCCTGCATTGGTAGGATAGCAAAATCATGAATGAAAGCAAATACATTATCCACATCTCCTCCAACGAAGTAGTAAAAGAAGTAGAAAGGTTATTGGGCCTGAACCCGTTTTAAATATCTAATCTATTCCGTGGCTAGCCGTTCCATCTGTCCTTCAAGTTCGGGCCGAGGTGACTGTCAAGTTCTCCATCGATGTAGTCAGCCTATAAAGAATCTAAATCATCGAACACTGCAAAGACAGTCGCTCGAGATTTATCTATCCAAACAAATCATTAGCCACGTCAGTTTTCTATATTGAAAACTCAGACCCAAATCCATCCAAGTCAAAACTAGTCTAAACCAATCTAACCCAGCCCAATGCCCTCGGGTCTCTCCCGAATCTTCACATGCGCGGAGTAACTCAAACCTCCGACTGTCCAGCCCCACAGTCCGAACCCCCAACGTAATGCATACCTTAATTGTACTCTTGGCTGCAGTCTTTATGAAGACCCACAAATACTCTGAATGAGTTTAAAAATGTTGCTGCATAGTGGGGATGGTGCTATGATCATTCTATCACTAAAACTCTGGGTCTGCCCGGAGAGATTATCTCCCCGCGTGGCAAGTGGACCCACCGAGGTCCCTTTTCTTCAACGTTTGGGATTTTTGGTTTAATTGATCGTGCTGTCCTGTTTTTGCATTGGGGTATTTTCTAGAAGTCAACTGTGACAAACTGACCTGAGTAAGATCGGATCTATTTTGGCCAACTATTACGACCCAGCAGCTATTGCTATAATTGCAACTCTTCACCAAGAACACTACACTTAATTGTCGACTTGAAAGGAGAATAACGGTATCAAAATGCCTTCACCACTATCAGACCCCGTCAAACTGCCATGCGGTCTTGTCCTACCAAACCGCCTATCAAAGGTTCGTAATTCCCCTCTTATCCCATCCACCGCTGCTGGCCAGAAGCACAATCTAACACTTTCACAGGCTGCAATGGCCGAAATGATGGCCAAATCCCACCATCCAGACCCTCTCTACGAGGCCTATGAAAAGTGGTCCACCGGCGGCTGGGGCAGCATTCTAACCGGCAACGTCCAAGTCGACATCAACCACCTAGGAAGCCCCTTCGACCCAGCCCTAGACGGCGAATACACCGGCCCAGACGACGAAAACAAGGCCCTCGTAGCCCGCTGGACCAAATATGCCACGGCCTGCCAACAACACGGCACGCCCGCCCTAGCCCAAATCTGCCACCCAGGACGACAGTCATTTCGCGTCGCAGGCAAGCGTGGGATTTTCGCAAACACAATCGCCCCCTCCGCGGTCCCAATCTCAGTAGGAAACTCGTGGCTAGAGTGCCTTATCGGTGCCATTGCCTGGACAAAGCCGCGTGCCATGAGCACAGCCGAGGTGCAGAGGGTTATCTCCCAATTCGTCGATACAGCGAGGCTCATGGCTGACGCGGGCTTCTCGGGAATCGAGCTGCACGGTGCGCATGGTTATCTCATCGGTAAGGAATCAATACACAATTCAAGTTCCCCAGCTACCTCAGAGAGAGTGGCAATATACTAACTCAAACTACCTATTCCAGACCAATTCCTAAGCTCAAAGACAAACCTCCGAACCGACGAGTTCGGCGGCACGCCCGAAAAACGCGCGCGCTTCGTCCTGGAAATCATCAAGCAGACCCGCGCAGTCGTGCCGAGCACCTTTGCCATCGGAATCAAGCTCAACTCGGCAGATCACAGCTCCGCGACCTTTGAAGAAACAATGGCCCAAATTGCCCTTCTTGTCGAGGCAGGTATCGACTTTATGGAAATTAGTGGCGGGACTTATGAAGATCCCCAGATGATGGGGTATCCTAAGTCGGAGATCCCGGTTAAGTCAGAGCGTACGGCTGCGCGCGAGGCATTTTTCCTTGAATTTGCAAAGACTGTTCGCGGTAGACATCCTGATCTGATTCTTATGTTGACGGGTGGGTTCCGGACAAGGGCCGGGTGTGTTGCTGCCATTGAGGATGGAGCTTGTGACCTTGTGGGTATTGGTCGACCTGCTGCTGTTGAGCCTGCTTTCCCGCAGTTGCTTTTGGACGAGAATGTTAAGGATGAAAAGGCCGCGCTGCCCCTGATTAAGGTGCCGCCTCCTTGGTATGCGAAGTTTTTGCCCAGAAACCTTATCGGGGCTGGGGCTGAGACTGTAAGTTCTTTTCTTCCAAGTTCCTTTCTTTTGTCTGGTTTTTTCTACCGGACATTCCTTCTTTTGGCTTCTCGATATTTATTGAATTTGGGCTGACTAGATCTGGTATAGACTTATTATGCGGGGCAGATTCAGCGCTTTGCTCGGGGCCTGGCTACTTATGCGCCGGCTCTGTGAGGGATACAATATAATTTTGTTTGAGCCGGTATGATGGCTTTTATTGTTTTTAGATTAATGGAATATAAGTGATATTATGTCCGCTAGGTTTAGTCTCACACCTGAAGAACCTTTCCCCTTTGTTGCAACTGTCATATCCACGGCAAAAAGGCCCGAGGGCTATTTCAGGGAGTGAGGTATGCGCTGGCTAGCTTTATTCGTCTCGTCTTCATTGCCATGGAAGAGTAAATGATATTCAATCAGATTCAATAAGATTGAATTTCCAAGGTTATTTTATCAGCATACTAGTATTTTGTAAGCTTTTAAAGCGAGTTCACTTGAAGTAATTTTCCTTTCCCTAATATATTTACATGAATAAAAGTCATAAATCATAAATCGTCCTCCTTTTCAAAAAGCGGCCACGTATCAGACTCATTATGTGGTCCCATCTGGTCCAACTGTCCTTTCAAATCATTGTTTCCTTGTAGCAGGGCACTAACGTATTTTGCCGTTTCATCGAGTATATACTTTCTCGTGAAATTATGGTTCTTCAGCCCAGGGACCAAGTCAGATAGATCCTGATACCCTCGCGTGACAGCCTCTCTCCTTTTCTTTTCCGACCGACAGTGACATAATTGTTGCCCAGGCTTTTGAACACACTTTCGTTTCTTCTTTGGTGGCGCCGTATCCTCTTCCTGCCTCGCTGGTCGCTTTTCCTCCTTGATCATTTCCGGCGGGCTACTCGCCTCGAGCGACGCAGCTGTCGACAGGGAGGCAGATCTTAATGAGGGTGTTTTTGTTGGGATATCGGTTTGTAGCTCATTGGAGAGGTCGAATCTGTTCAACCGAATGATATCCGGCTGTTCCGAGAGGAAGTTTGATGTGTGCGTGGAGAAATCGAATTCATAGCCAAAGTCGACAGTTACACTATTGGCGGCATGCATCATGTTGCGCATCAAGTTCTGAGTTACACGCTCTTCAGTCCAAGTTCCGATCGGATTAGAGAATCCATGATAGCAGAAGCTGGGGTCGGATCCCCATTGCAAGCCGGCCTCTAGGGGCCAGCGCTTTTGCGCTTTGATATCGGGTGGGCAGCATGCTTGGTTTTCATGGCTGTGATCGTGGGTTTGGTGTTCGGTGTACATTGGTGATGGTATTTCAGGAGATGTGTCTTGGACGTAGGATAGTTTTTCGCAGGGTGTGCATGTATTTCTGCATTTGTGGGGGTTTGAAAGAAGTTGAATCCGGGGCAGACCAGGGGCAGCGATTGTCTTTCTCAAATGGTCAGCTCCTGAAAGGGCGCCAAGTGGCATGGAATGTCATATGAAAGCGGCACGGGGTCTAGCGCTCGAACTAAAGTTTTGTTGAGAAAGAAGTGACTTATGATAGGAGATCCAAAAATCTTACTTGGGTGAGCTTGCGAGGAGGCCCCAGTCATACTACGTCAACACCGGAAACCACCCGGATGGCTTGCAAAGTGGACCGGGTGCATCCCGGACGAAACCCCCTGGCCATAGTTGCTCGGGGATTTACTCTGTTGTACAATCACCATGCAAAAGAAGCTTATTTTGGTTTCGAATAGAGCCTCTTACAATATAATCATTGAATTTTTCAGCCTCAAATTTTTGGAATCCGATCGCGTGAGACTCTTTTAGGGTCTGGATATAGACACGTGACGTATCCGGGTGCATTCCGGGTCTCTCGATACGCACCCTCCGTACTTTCTCCACACTCCGCTGCCCAGACGATGATCTTCACAACGCGGGCCTGAAAACAGATCATCTATTTTCCAGGCAGCTGGATTCGTGTTCCCCAACATTCCGGGGCCACGGGAATCGCATGATCGGTCTCGGGTAATCTTTGACTGTGCGATTAATGGTTGTCCCGGTCCCGAATGGGAAGGATTCATACTTGAGCCTCGACCTTGAGCCTCGGTGATCTAGGCCAAAATGTCTTCGCGAAGAAGAACAATCAAAAAAGAAACCCCGCAGCGCCGCAAGATCGCTTTAGCATGTGAATCATGCAGGGACAAAAAGGTCCGGTGCGATGGGGCAAAGCCGATCTGTGGGCCATGTGCTCGACGGGCGTATCCGATAGACCGGTGCGTATACAAGATTGAGAACGCTCGGTCAGCTAGCAATGATGCTTATCTTCGGGTGCTACACAATCGCATCCGAGAATTGGAGATTATTTGTGCGCAGAATGGAGTTGCTGTCCCAGCTCGAATTGTTGATGATGAGGAGGGGGGATCCGATGATGGCCAAGAGAGACAACCGAGTGCAGACACGCTGGACCACGAGTCTAGAACGTCGGTGGCCGTGGAGGGTCTTCTCGGCCTAGGCTCCAATTCCGCGATACTCAATCAGATACGTCCATCGATGGTACCTCCGGTGCCGCAAATGAGTGCTCGCATGGGACATCGGCCCTCTATACCATCGGCACATTCAGGCCTGGGACATCCTGACCCTGACCCAATCTCACCCCATCGAGCACTTGCGCCTTATGAGCCGGGAAGGGCATCTTCGACAAATGCCTTTCCTTCCCCGTCTATCAATTCCCATAATGTCACAGCGATGGGGGCAATATCAGTGGGAGAAGACGGGGAAAGTAACGAGTCGCCTCGGGAGCAATACTATGGCAACTCATCTGTAGCTTCCTTCATGCGCCTTGCAAAGGACTCAATGCCAATAAGGTCTTATCTTCAAACTCTCAAGCAGATGGAAGGCAGCACACCCGGTGGTCCTTCCTACCGGGACACAGGGCTATGGCGGGACTGCCTGACGCCTACCCTAGGACTGCAATTCGATGATTTTTCGCTACCTCCTCGCTCTCTAGCAGACCATCTCCTGGAATGCTATTGGAATCGAGTCCATTGTCTCTATCCATTTTTCCATCGGCCTAGCTTTGAGCAGGCTTACGAAAATCTGTGGGGATCTAGTAAATGGCCCAAGCCTCAGTTGCCTGAACTAAACATCGGTCTTGGTGGCTCATTTGATTCCGGCCATCAGTCAATTGTTTTTCATTGTGCACTCAACGCTATCTTTGGCTTAAGCTGCCATTTCTCAGACATCCCTGCCGCTGAGCGCGAGGCAGCCGCATACTCATTTTTTCTCCGATCGAAGCGCTTCGTCGGTCTTGACCTCCTAGACATAGGTACGATTGGTGTTGTACAGACACTCCTCATTATATCCCTTCTTTTACAAAGCACGCCCTACCCCAATAGATGTTGGAATGCGATCGGGCTTGCTTGTCGGGTGGCCCAAGGATTGGGTCTGCATGAAACTGCGCAGCAATCCATCAACCCCCCTAGAGCAAGAAATCAGACGTCGTACGTGGCACGGATGTGTGATCATGGATATGTAAGAGCCTCCAGTCCGTCTCACTCCCATTCTTATCTCTAACATTGAAATCCAGGATCGTAAGTATGACTTACGGTCGTCCGAGCATGACATCTCATATTTCCCCTGCTTCTCCCCCAGCCATGAAACCCGATTTGCAGTCCGATGACCCGTGTGCACTTGCCGGACAACCTTGCGATCATAAATCGGGTTATATGACCTTCTACGTCTCCACAATTGAGCTCTATAAAATCCTCGAAGCCATCCTATCCGACATATACAATGCATGGCAAAGCCGATCGAACCACCATCGACCCTTGTCCCACCGGGGAATGAAACATAGTAGCCTTGATGTCATTATGGAACTCGATGACAAGCTTTCCACCTACGAAGCCAATATTCCCCCCGTGCTTAACTGGACTGGTATGCACCCACCGCTTAGTCCAAATAGTTATCAGGACGCGATCTTCAAACGTCAGCGCAACGTCTTGCGTGCAAGGTACCATAACCCTTTCTTTCCAGTCATTAATTAGAAGAAATTAAACTAACGTAATCCCTCTGTCAGATTTATACATCTTCGTCTTCTCCTTTATCGCCCCATGTTCACACAACTCTGCTCCGACGATCGCATGGACTTCGCCCGGCAGACAGGCTCAGGCTCGGACTCGGATAAACCCACGATCGGACTGGAGAAAAACGTCATTTACAACTCCATGTCCGTGAATTGTGCAGCTGCTTGTGTCAGGGCAGCTGTGGAACTAGTGTCCCATGTCCACGCGACATATAGGACATCATTGACAGACGCGTGGTGGTATAACGGCTTTTGTATGTCCGCCTCGCCCAACCCTAACAACACTTTTTTATCTAATTTGCGAGTCACAGATACATCCACCGCGGGATTTGTTCTGATCATGTCGTATTCTTGCCGCTCAATCCTCGACCAGATCGACGTTCATGCTGTGGACGAGACATGGCGGAAATGCGAGGAGGTCTTGACAACAATGTCCTTATTCAGCCTCTCTGCCCGCAACTCGCTACAGTTCCTGCAGGTTACGCACCAACACATTGTGCAGAACTATACAGGTAAGAGAACCCCACCGCCTCGTTTTATTCAAGTTCTTCGATTGTTCAGAGCGGCTGTCTAATATAGATACAGGTGCCCCCCCGCAACGAGGATAACGCTTTTGTCACGAACCAAGCTCAAAGAAACAGTAAAAATGCTGATCGATCAGATCTTACTTCTCATGTTGCCGAGGGGATCTCAGAAGAGCCCGGGGCGCGTGATTCCGAGTCCAATGGCCCAGGCATCAACCCATTCATGAGTTGGGACGAAATGGGCCTTGGTCAGGAGGATCTGGGATTTTTGGGCAGATTTGACCTTCCTGATCTCGCGACCTGGTTTTCCGACGTCCCAGATACCATGCTGTCATGATACCTTCCATCAAGCATAGCACAGGAGTGATTCGAGGGCATGGAAAGGAACTACGTGTATATTAAATCCCAATTCTTAATTCTCATCATAATGCATCAAAAAGAGTAGAATCAGCACCGTTCCAAAACGTCCCAGACAAACTCTCCAGCGTCTCAAAGTCCGGCATCCACAGCGGATCGCTCTGATTCTGATCGATCCACGGTGCAAGTTGTAACGCCATCCGAACAGCGTGGTCACTATCGTCATCAGGATAAACCTGCGGTCCAAAGCCAGCGGTATCTGGCGCCAACCCGGTCGGGTTTTCCGCGGGGAGCCTTTCTCCGCTAGACATTCCGGGGAAAGCAGGATTTAGAAACGCGCCACCATGCTGTGCTGTCATGAGCTCGGCCATACCTGCGTTGCGAGCGGTTTCGTTTCCTTGCAGCTTTTCCATGGCGGCATTTACGAGAAGCTCGAACGCGTCGCGGTATTTCTTTACCCAAGCCGCTCTTTCGCCCATGACGAAAAGTACCGTTGAACAGGCGCGGATGTCGTTGCTCATGCGGACGGTCCAGACTTGTTCTGTGTGTGTCCATAATGCGTAGAGGAGGGTAATACCGGCCATGAAAACGGTTTGCACGGCGAGAAATGAGTGGCCATATTCCAAGGTTTGGTGGAGACGCTTGTGGGACTGGCAGATTTCGCCGGCGGCATCGAGACAGATCTTGTAGTATGGGTCTGTGATCGGGAGAAGAGGAAGAAACGGCTGGATTAGGAGCCGAACGGCGCGATTGTAGTGAAGCATGGGGTAGTCGAGATCCGATCCGGAAAACCGGAGGAAAGCGGACTCTTTCCATTCTTCAAGCTCGAGATATAGGGGGGGTCCATTTTGAGGCGGAGGGAGGAGAGGGGTCTGTCGGCGCGGTAGATCTTATGCTGAATTCGGGAGTCGATGCGGCGAAGTTTAAAAAGGTAGATTGCAAATGTGAGGGTTGTTGTCTTTCCCAGTACTTGCGATGCGGTTAAGAGCGCGGGATCTTGGATGTCATCGTCCACGTCTATTGGCAGGTCGAGGTCGATGTGACGATCGGAGATGCTAAAAGGACGTCCGAGAGACATTGAGACCACTCTTTCTAGATAGTAGACTGTCCAGAATAGTCTCCTTCGCATCTGGGTGGTGAATGGGTCCATGTTAATTTCATTTGCCTTTCGGTGTAGACCGAGGTCAATAGCTGTGCGCATCGCCAGCCCGATCATGTACCACATGCCATGACTAGAGGCGGTGCGGAGATGATATACAACAAGGAGGACCATTGCCTCGATATTCTCAATAGAGCGGGCATCGCACATTGTGGGCACACACTGCAGAGCAGATGTATAAAATCGCTGTGAAATGTTAGTCATAACGAACTTCATTGTTATCGGAATTGGGAGATTTGGACTATACCTCTGGTGCAGTGTATGCATATTTGTACTTCTCACTCAATTGAAGCATCGTCGCACCAATAGCATAGACCAGATTTAGTTTAAAGATTGCAAATCGATCTGACCTCGTGAGATCTCCACGTTTTGTTTTTGCTAACCGCCAACGTTCTTCGTGGAGCGTCCATATCTGCTTGCGATCCAAAAATGGATAACGAGAGTGCAGTCTTTTGAAATAAGTTTCGAGCATTTTATTTCCCATTTCTTCGGTTGGTGGTTCGGGTAAAAGCTCGTCTGCTCTTTTACATCGGTCTCGTATCCGAGGGCCACCAGCCGGAGGGGTTGCCGCAGGACTTAACCCACGATTACTAGTATTTTGTGGGTTGCTATTTGTTGCCGGAGTTTGCTGGGGTTGCATTCGTGATATGAACTGGTTCCAAACGCTTGTTTGGACCATTTCACCCAAATTGGCTGCCAGGGATAGACCGGAGCTTGATCCCACATAGGCGGGTGCCTCGGATGAACTCAGGGCAAGCAGTCCAACAATTTCTCCTACTGGGTTATTATCGAGACCAGAGGTTGTTGTCTGTGGTGTTGTATGACCACCTTGTGGAGACCAAACAGAGGCTGGCACGTTTGGGGCTGCATTGTGGCTGGAGGATGATGGGTCAGGCTGGACCAACTTGCCCTCGAGGAATGCCACTCGTTCTTCTAATGCACGAGTGTAACTGTGATATATTATGAGCAGTGTGATTCTATTAGGTGCCTGCTGTTCACCCCCAAACTCACTCGTTATGACGGTCTGCATCTTCGCGCACGCTCGACTTGTCACACGTGACCCCTGCTTTCCGACAGTTTGAGCAGGTCGGATATTCGTTGTCGCACTGAGTCAAAATCGTCAGCAAATTTCCTGTTGTATTCCAGGACTAGGGTTCTGTAAAACAAACCTTCTGTTTCCTCGTCTTGCAGCGTGTGCAGGCTGTTCGTCCGCGCTTGCGGGGATTGAAATCCTTCGAGACAGGACTAGTCTGCCTGGATGACTCCGGGCTAGGGCCGACGGGATACATGGTATCGCATTGTCTAGATGTGAGACATCCAAGCTTCTTTCATTCGGCACATGGATGGACAAGGTCGCTGGGCTGAAGATCTCAACGTGGCAATGATGGAAGGTTGGGAGTGACGACGTTAAGAATGCGGAGAGCGCCAAGACAAACACCAACCATCAGCCAAACATAAAATGAATAATCACTATGCTTATAAATATTTTACGGAGAGCTCTATTTGCATGTGTTTAAGAAGATAAATTGTTTTATTAAAGTGAATCTATATTATATTATTCTATATTCAAATGCTGTTTGAGGTATGTGCTAATACTATGCGCTTTTATGGTATCGAACGCTGCATAACTATCAAATGAAGAAGTAGTAGGAGAAAGAGACTTGAAGGCAACAGAAGCAACAAAACATCAGACAGCCAGCACTTATCTGCATGTGCCATCCTTGTCTTCTGTCTTAATTTTGGCCCGGGCTGGCTTTCTCGTCCCACCCGGCGATGGACTCAGCACGAGATGGGTGCAGCGTTTGAGACTCGGTTGCGGAGGTCATGGAGTTATGCTTTTCCATTACCTCCTCGCCCTGACAGGCTTCATTTCCTTTAGGTTGCTGCTCTGAAAGGGCAGCTTCTGCGTCTCGCTCAGCTTCGGCCTTTCGCTTTTCCTCTTCAATCTCCTCGGGTGACTTGATGCGTTCGAGACCGCGGTCACGAACGAACACACATGCAAGGAAGCACACACCGATAAGAGGAACCTGGAGAATGAAGACAGAATGAGAGGCCTTGGTATAAGCAAGCAAAATTTGTGACCATTGAGTATCGGTGAGACTGGATCGCGAAGGGAGCGAATAGGTGGACTCGGTCAAGTAGGAAAATTCGGCAGGAAGCTGTGAGCGTAGAGTAGCCTGCAAAATGGCGGCAGAGATAGCGAGACCGCATGCTCCACCCATGCATCGGAAAAAGTTACGGTTTGAGATGGATATGGCGCGGTGAGACTTGGTACAATGCGCCTGCAAAGCGACGAGCGTGGGTTGGAATGTGAAACCAATTCCGATACCAGAGATACCAACGCAGACAGCGATCACAGCTGGGTGGGTCTTGTCATCAAAGAGAAGCATGAGACCAGCACCTCTATCGTGGCTATTAGCGCATATTCGACTCGGAGTGTATAATTATTTCGGCTAATGGGCACTCACAAAGTCCAGAGACCAAACCCCATCCAGATGATTTCTCCATAGCGTTTTAGTCGGGAAATATACTGGCCGGAGCAGATGGAAGCAATAGCCTGGCATGCCACCATCGGCGAAGTCAATGCCGCAGATACTATGGGGGGACCAGCCGCGGGCATTTTGGTAGTAGAGTGGTAGGTAGTAGAGGTACGCTTGATAAACTGCCCCCAGAAGGAAGCTCTGTAAGAACAGGGCAGTGACGACTTTGCTTTTGAAAAAAACAACTATAGTAGAGTCAGTGTGCCATTCGGATCGAAAGAAGTGTCGCAACATACCTGGCAGCATTGGCAATGTGGCTACCTTCCATTCAATCAAAGCAAAAGCGACAAAGGCACAGCCTCCAATGACAAGCATTGCTATCACCATCGGCGAATCCCACGGAAAGTAGGACCCTTCGCCCGAGACGGGAATTAAAACAAAGATAATTCCAATAGAAGATGCCAGGACACCGAACCAGTCAATTCGGTATAGATTCTTACGAAATTCATCTTTTTGGGCGTTGTTCGGGATCAAGAAGTATCCAACAATTGCTGAAATTGCTGCCAACGGCGAGATCAACCAGAAGAAGCCACGCCATGTTGACCGCTCAATAAACGCAGCAGCGATGAATGGTCCGAGAATATTTCCCACGCCAAGTGAAGCGCCGAGTATGCCTTGATACTTTCCTCGCTGCTCGAGGGTGACAACATCTGACACAATTATCATTGTTAATGAAGCGACACCACCACCTGCCACACCTGCCAATCCTCGAAAAACGTAGAACATGGCTGGACTCTGTGAGAGACCACAGAGCAAATCCGCGATGCATAGCAACACTAGTGCCGATATGTAAACAACCTTGCGTCCGAAAATATCTGATAGCCGTCCATAGAGCACCGTGAACATGGTATTCGCGATCAATGAGGAGGTTCCCGCCCAGGAAATAGTGTCCTGTGCACCCAAATCGCGTGCAATTGTGGGTAATGTGACACTGATACCATTCTGATCCATACACATTATAAGTAGGGAAGTCGCCAGGCCAGTGAAAACAACCATGAGCTGACCGAATGGGAGAATGTTCGTTTGGTCGTGCAAGGCCTTTTCGGCCTCACGTTGTCGATTCATGATTGAAAGCTTGGCCTTATATTCGGCGATTCTAGTTCGTCGGTTTCAAATATCCAGTGTTGTGCCTGATTCCAAACACACGAAAGAATCCACAAAAGGAGTTCGGGGCGGAATTTAGTGAGAATTGCTGAAGGTGGAGCTCAAAGATCTCTGCATACAGCTCCGATGGGCGAGGTTTGATGAGAATTGCTTTACTCCGCAGCGGGAATCGGTTCGTATAAGAGAAACTAAGATTTCGAGTAAATAATTTCCGTCATGTTGCAGTCACCAGTGGTATCCGGTACATCGGCATCTGGTTCTGAGTCTCAATTGGAGATTTGCGCCGCTCAACAGGATTTGAGTCGGATATGCCTCCGATGCGGGTAGAAAAGCCCTGCATCTTGTCCTAAATCTGCACCGGTGGACTACTGCCAGCCGTAGTCGGTTTAATTCCGCGTCATCTCCGATATGGTTGGCGCGCCAAAAACACCGAAGTGGAGTCGCCACATCGGACATCCGATCGGATGTCCGTATTGAGTCATTGCGGAATAATTCTCACGCGACAATCAGGGGACTTTTGACTACAATTGTAGATTTTATATTATTGGCCAGAGGGAGCACGAAATGTATCAGATGGTTCTTAAGTATACTTTTATGATGCTGACACAGAACGAACAAAAAGCTAATCCGTACAGATTGATCAGATAATTATGGATGCCTGAGGCACACATATGGATTTCACTTTCTCAAAGTGGTACCTATGTATACTAGTAAATAACTAGCAACCCGTACTAACTAATAGATGAAAGATGAAGCGGTGTAAGATGAGATGTCTCCAAGCATGTGTTAATTTTCCCATTTGACCACGACTGATTGATGTAGTGCAGGCCACGCGAACAATGCGTCGGAGGATCCGATATGCCCAATCTAGGCCTTCGGACCTCACAGATCAAACTTCGTTCCTACTAGCTCCTCGCTCAATTCAAAGAGTCTCTCAGCGGCATCCATATTCACTGCATGAGGTGCAGTTTTGGCGAATTGACAATCACTCAGATAGATAGCCGATGGATCGGATACATCTAGTACTTCGTTGTTACTCAAGTAGTCATCTGGGAATTTTCCTTCCGACTTGAAGGTCTAGAACCCTGAAACATACCTGTCAAAGCGGGGTCAAAAGCAGCTACAAGCATTGTAGCTCCACCTTGATCAGCGGATTTCCAGACATTACTGGTCTTCGACATCGTATCGTGGCCAGCGTCATCAAGACCCCGACTTAGACCAGTCCAGATAGCTATATTTTTGTCAACACTGTAGAGGATGTAATATTCGGATGAGGCCACTTCACTCACAGCCAGGGTGCACACTATACGAAACAATACCAGCAGTGGCTAGGTGTTTTGTCAAATAAACCGTGAAGAGGATATTGGCCGTTTTGGACTGCCCATACGCCAGCCATCCATTATACCCATCAGCCGTGGGGCTAAACATGGGTGGCAACCCCTCCTGGAGGTCTTTCATCTACAGGAACTTCTTTGCCCTCGAAGTTATAATCGTGGAACCGAATAGGAGATAGTCGATGGCCGGCACTGGTCACGTTGACAACGCGAGTGGATCCACGCCCAGAAGCTTTGGCAGCATTCTTCAGTTGGGCCATGAGCAAATTTGTAAAGAGAAAGTGCCCGATGTGGTTTGTGCCAAACTGCATCTCTATTCCCTCTTCTGTTGTCTCGCGGTCAAGTACCATCATTCCGGCATTGTTGATTAAGGTGTCGACTCGATCGACTAGACCCTGGATTTTCGACGCCGCCGCACGAATTGATTTCTGAGAGGCGAGATTCAAGGCAATCACCGCTATCGAAATACCTGGATTCTGTTCTCGGACATTCTTGGCCACCTCTTCGACTTTAGTCTCCGTGCGCGAGGCAAGAATTAGGTTCGCTGGGTTTTGGCTTCCTATGGCAAGGGCGAGTGCTTCACCCAAGCTATTGGGACCAACGCCCGTAATAATAACTAAGGTGGAATTTTTATGTTTTTGTATCTTGAGGAGGCGAATTCAGTCAGTGCTTACCATTTTTGCCTCGGATATCGCTTGCAAAAGTCTGTGCGACTTCCGTGGCCGTGGTCTTCTCATTGAATTCAGGGTGTGAGGTAGCCATCTTGCTATTTCTATCGTCTCAAACTGGACTTAAACTTGAATATTTTCTATCATATTCCATGAAATTATACTTGGATCTATATCTTTTTTCCCCAAAAAGAAAGTGGTTTCTCATTGGAAGGCCCCGCAAGTAGCTGCCAAACCCTTTCGAAAGCCCCACAAGCTGCAGTACTCTTCCCTCCGGCATTTGTGAAGTTGAATCTACCCGTCTTGTCTGATATCCAAGTAATTTAATATGGTGAATGGCACTAGTATTTGCGGGGGTGCGGGGTGTTATGCGTCAAAAGCCACAAGGTGGTTGTGCCCCTACAGCCCCACAGAACGATTCTCCACACCATCGGCTTCGGCTACGATGCAGAAGGTTTATTGGCGTTTGAACTCGGTAAAGATGGCCGGAGCCCTTACTTCTGAGCGCTTATGGTATAGTGTCCGGCAGTTGTGACTTTCCCAGTCCCGCCTGATGCTGGGGTTTTTCCAGTCGACCGGAAGAAGATCATTCTGCTACCATCCAACTTAAAGCCCGGATGATCGGCTTAATGCAAGATAGTCTGGATTGATTCTCAGAGATTAATATTCACATAGTTCCGAGCAAACTGATTCAATACCATGGAGGCCTCAAAAGCTCCAAGTGAAGTAGGATTGCAGCCTTCCGGCATCAAGGTGATCGTTGTCGGCGCAGGTATGGCCTATTATAATATTGTTGGCGATAATTTCTGACTCAGGTGAAGGTTTCGGTGGTTTAACCGCTGCAATCGAATGCCATCGACAAGGACATGATGTAGAAATATACGAGTCATTCCCTGGTCAGTCTGTTCGGCCTGCATTGAGACTGGAAGGTCGCGCTTTAACATGTTTTGGTATTTGAAGAACTCAAATCACTTGGTGATATCATCTCTTTCGGGCCTAATGCCGGCCGCATATTCCGTCGTTGGTCAAATGGAAAGATTGCGGATCGTTTGAAGCCACTCAGTATTAACTTAGAAAGTCATGGTTTTAAAATCCACAAGTGGACAGGTGAGCTGGTTCATACACAGATCGCACACAATCCGGACCCAGATGCACCAGTCTTCAACGGTCATCGCGGTGAGCTGCACACGGTGGTCTTCAACTATGCCAGGGACGAGCTTGGTATCCCGATTCATCTCGGCCAGAGGGTTATGGAATATTTCGAGGATGGGAATCAAGCAGGTATAGTTTTGGAAAGTGGAATAAAGGTAAATCCATACAGACCCTCAATATGGCTATTTGACTCATTTCATTAGGTTATCGGCGACATGGTTATCGGTGCAGATGGCGTGCGCTCCAAAGCACGCGAGTTGGTATTGGGCTATGTTGATAAGCCCAAGTCAAGTGGATACGCTGTTTTCAGAGCATGGTTTGTTGTGACTGAAGACCAACCTTTCTTTCAACGCTGACGTTCATCATTTTCAAAGGTTCAATAATAATGATATGATTCGGGATCCACGAACAAAACATTTTTGCGAGAATGGAGACACATTCAATGGTTGGATTGGCCCAGATGTACACTTTTTGTTTTCCACTATCAAGAACGGAGAGGACTGTTGTTGGGTTTTAACGCACAAAGTTAGTTCTTTATTTTTTTGAGCCAAAGAAAGTCATTGACAAAGTGAAACTCCAGGACGATGCGGATATCGAAGAGTCATGGTCTTTCCCAGGCAAGCTAGAGGATGTATACAAAGTGATCGAAGGCTGGGACCCAATTTGCAAGGCAATTGTTGAAAAGACTCCTTCGATAGTTGACTGGAAACTTGTTTATCGCGATCCACTACCACGTTGGGTAAGTGAACACGGACGCATTGCTTTGCTTGGAGACTCGGCACATCCGTTTCTTCCCACTTCAGCACAGGGAGCAACACAAGCAATGGAAGACGGAGTAGTCCTGGCCGTGTGTCTGAAGCGTGGTGGAAAGAATGGCGTGCCTGCTTCTGTTAGAGCATACCAGGATATTCGGTATGAACGAGTCTGTGCTGTTCAGAAGACAGGTGAGACCACTCGCGACCTGTGGCACAAAGCAGACTGGGAAAAGGTAGCAAAGGATCCCGCGTCAATCCAGATGCCTCGTGAGGATTGGATATTCCGATTTGATGCGGAGAGAAATGCGGAAGAGGTTTTCCCCCAGGTCGTTGAGGTGAAATAAACTTGAACGGTAGGGGTTTTGCCTACCTTTGTCAGCCTTGGATGAATGATTTACTCTGGGCCTGAGTATTTGACCGCCTTTTTTAAGATTTTACGTTAAGCAGCAGATACAATAAATTAAAGTTCCAGATCGCACTTGAATCAACTTTTACTTGCTTATAACTTGAAATTATACCTCGGGATGGCCTAGAATAAATAGTATCAGTTTTATATCAGAGATAAGCAGAAAGCGTAGTTAGGTTCAAGTTACCAATGGGATCAAGTAGGCCAACCAAGAATTTGCATTATTAGGATGGGTGTTCATGGTAGCACCTTGAACTCTACTAGTAACAAACAAAGTAAATATAAGAACCAATAAATTGGGTTCTGATTATGTCTCGACATCTCATTTTCCCCATACGAAAGAGACACATTACAAAGTTTTATCCACGTCCTAGCGGTAGTTCTTGGTTGAAATCCATATTCACCAGGTAAGCGGTACCCTGATTACAGACACATAATAACGTTTCCGAGCATTGCACAGCAGCTAATTTTCACTGTATACCCGGTACTCATTTCCATGCTGACTTCATTCAGTTTTCTTAATGTAGTCTGCGATTCTGGGTCTTTCCTCAATGGCCGCCTTGAGCTTGGCTAGAGCCTCCGGCAGGGCCGACTAAACACATCATAGTTAGCAAGGAGTTGAGATCAGAAGCCAAAGCTATCATACCGGAAGCGTTCCAGTTCTACGGTCGTTATCGATAGACTGGTATATCGCGAAGTCGACGTAGGTGATTTTATCACCTAATAGATATGGTCCCTCAAAATCCGAGTAGTACTGTGCAACGAGGCTGTGATACTCCGGCACATATTTATCCTTGTACTCATCATTCTTGTTGTGTAGGATTGCAACCCATTTCTCCTGTTTAAATTAGAATTAGGGTCGCACACGTAGTCATATCTCAAACAGCAAACTTACCCTCCAGTCAACATAGATGTCAGAAACAGCGTCGACCACATACTTCTCCGAGTTTGTTTCCCCGTCATAGCCCCCAAGTTCGCGTGCGAAGTATCGTAGAATGGGAATGTGCTAGTACTCTCAGTCATTTCCCTAAGAAATGGGTTGAATTTCTAGCTTACCTGTATGAGATTCTGGCCCTTGTATTCGATCGCAGGAAGCTTGCCTGTCCGAGTTATGCCCTGATTTTTCAGAGTCTCGCTTTGCTGGGGCCATGTGGAGTCGCTCGGATAAAGAACGGTTTTAAATTCCACTCCAGCATCTTTGAGGAAAAGACTGGATTTCGAAAGTTACTATCAGCACGAAGCTCCGGTCTCGATGGGGTGAATTGTCCCGAGCGGCATGCGGGGTACAAGTGCGAACTCACTTGACAACTTCACCACGCCCTAATCGGCCAATGTCAAGGTAATGGTAGACTGGAATGTCATTAAGGGTGGCCATGATTTATTTTTCAAAAGAGTTCCTGGCAAAAAGACGAGAGTTGCAATGATGAAAAATGCTATGAGAGGGAGGGGAGTTAGGAACTGTTATAGAAAGGTGCCCAGGTGACGAGTTTCGGGATTGGGAAATTCAATGACCAGCCTGAACTTGAAATTATTACCCCCCGTTTTATATTCCTGTGTGATAGGCCTACAAAGTGCAGTTTGTTGTCATTATGCGTGGGCTTATATTAAAAATCGCGCATTTTTTCCAACCGTAATGTTTTGGGCGCTGAGCACTCTTGAGCGAGATAAGCAATTTACGCGAGATACGCGAGATACACGAGGAGAGCGAGAAGAGCGACCATTCGTAACAGGCAAGGGATTTGGCGTCAATTGCTTCAAAACCTCACAGTTCTCATTCCAAATAAGGACTCAATTATTTCCCACTCCAAAAGAAACATATCACAACCTTGAGATTTCAAGTACCATCGCCCAACATCAACGCATGAGCAAGTAAGTGGTCAGACCCACTCCACAATGTGGCTTACATTCTTACGGGCAAACCAGAATGGCATCAACAAGAAACCCGGAATTGAAACTGTGGTTCTCACCACGATCGTGCTCCTTTGTCCCGCATGTTGCGCTGTGTGAAGCCGGGCTTAAGGCGGAGCTCATTCTCGCCGAAGCGGGGGCCCAAGAATTCAAATCGCTGAACCCCAAAGGCCGCGTGCCTGTTCTAGCGCTTGGCGATGAGATTATCACTGAAATGTCAGCCGTGCTGACCGGTATATCATCCTTGGCACCAGAGGCGCATCTCTTTGGACGAAGCTCATTGGAGACTATTCGTGTATACGAGTGGCTAAATTATTTGTCTACTACTGCTCATGCACAGTCATTCGCAAGCGTCTGGAGAACGGAGAGATTCACGAATGACCCTGATCTATATCCTTCAATCCAGTCTAGAGGAATGGAGAACATTAGGGATGTGTATGCACTGATCGAGGGAAAGCTTGCGGAGAGTGACTCGAACTATGCAGTGGGAAAGTTTTTCACAGTTGTTGATCCGTTTCTCGTTCTGCTTTATCTTTGGGCAGGAAGATTGAAGATTGAGATGGGAAATACATATCCCAAATACACTTTGTATGTAAATAGACTTTTGAGGAGAGAGTCTGTGATTGAAGCTGGCAAAGTACACGCGAATCTGGGTGCATAGGGATGATCGAAGATCCATAAACGACTGATGGAAATATACGGCTGGACTGAGAGCTGTGTGCTCAATTCAAACCCAATTCTGGCGTGTTGGATTTATTGAAACCTCTGTTCAATTGTATCGGATGAGGAGTTGTAATTACAATGTGCAGTGAATGAAGAATTCTCATCAAATCCAAAGCAGACAATGCAATCTAAGGCCCGACCTGTCAAAAATTGGAATATAAGCTACAAAATTGGAATAGCGAATGTCCACTGGTTGCGCAACTCGAGTTTGTAGATTTGTAATTTAGTCAATTACACCATAGGATTCCAGGCGGTGGCTCAAGAGCTCGTGGCGTTCTATAAATGATGGGTCGCGCCCCTAATATCTCATCGCTTTTTACTCTTTCTCCTCACCAAACAATCGTCTGATCACATTTCTCCCATATTTATCCTGGAAGAATTTCTGTAATCCCAAGGAATTTCCTCAAATGGCAGTTGCACTCCACGGGTGGCACCCCGGTGAGGTCGCCATACAGCGCCACCTCGGCTTTGCAGATGCAGTCAGCGATCGCTGGCCGATCGTCGCAAAAAGTATGCCAGATCAGCATCGTCTTTTTCACACTTCAAATTTGAACTTCATACCTGTCACCGTAATCGATAAACATGGTCGTCCTTGGGCTTCTATTATGGCTGGTGCGGGTGGCGAAATCGGCTTCGTGACGAGCCCAAATCCCGAAACTTTATCAATCATCGCTCATTTATGGAATGGTGACCCAATGCTGGAAACTGTAGCCTCATGGATGAAAGACTCAGGGCTATATGAGACTGACAATCACCTGATTGCTGGTTTGGGTATTGAATTGTCGACAAGGAGGCGCAACAAATTTGCCGGGAAAATCGAGAACATCCACCCCTTGGAAACTCGGATTTTCGATTTGAAATTAATGTGAATGAAGCTTTAGGGTAAGTCATATCTTTTGAATTCTCTAAATTTTTTCAGGCTTTCGTTCGAGTTTGACTGACCAGATCATCCGCAGAAACTGTCCTAAATACATCAACGTTCGCAAACTGGTCCCATTCGCACACGCACGGCCAAAGATCGTTTATCAAGTCGAGCACCTTCAACAATCCCAGAGACTTCCGCAATATCTAATCGATTTCATCTTGAACGCAGATACCGTCTTCGTAGGGTCTATCTACAAATCCCAGAAATCAACAGCATTTCAATTTCCGTCGCACGCAGGAATGAATGCCCGGGGTGGTCTACCTGGATTTCTCAGAGTAAGTCCGTCTGATGGGCGAACCATTGTGCTACCGGACTACTCCGGCAATCGATTTGTTTCAAGTCTTGGAAATATCGAGGCCACGGGTCTTGTTGGATTCACCATAGTCTCATTTACGACAGGAGATGTGCTCTACCTGACCGGCACGGCCCAGAATATCGTTGGCCAAGACGCTCTCAAAATAATGAAAAAGCATGCTGCAATCACGGTGATGCAGGTTTCTGGATTCACCTTCGTGAAGGATGCCCTGCCTCTTCGCCAAGAAGCTGGAACCTCAGTCGAGCGAAGTCCTTACAGTCCAAAGGTCAAGTACCTTGTTGAAGAGTCCGTAGCGGAATCAGGCGATAGTTTAGATTACAAGGCTGTATTGGAAAGTGCGGTACAGCTCTCTGACGATTTGGCTGTTTTCAAATTTAATGTTCCTCCGCACAAGGGATCAAAAAAGCTTGAAATACGACCAGGACAAGCCATCGCCCTAGACTTTATGGATTGGATTGGACCACCACAATACCAACACATGTCAAACGCCAAGCCAAGTCTCATCAATGATGACAGAATCCGTACCTGGACAGTCTCAAGTGCCCACGAGGACGGCGAAGCATCTTGGTTTGAATTGACGATGCGCGAACTCAAAGGAGGCGCGGTAACAGGCGCTCTATTTGATATTTTGAGAAAAGCAAATAAGCAATATGGCTCAACAATCACTCCAAGAAAAGCCGTTGCCGCCGAAGTTGTGGGCATCACTGGTGATTTCTATATTGGGCAAGATAATATCAATGCACTCTGGGTAGCTGGAGGAATCGGTGTCACACCTTTTCTGTCAATGTTGAGCGCACTTTCGACGCGAAATCGGCCGGGAAGATATGATATAACAATGGCCTTGGCAACAAAAGAGCCAATTCTCATGGTGAATCTACTGAGACCCCTCCTTGCGAGTCTACCATCAGATATTCGAATCGGGATTGATATATTCACGCATGAAAATGACCTCCAGTTGGATATAACTCAGGGAAAGAACCAGAAGATTTCTCTTCATCACGGCCGGATCCCCGCTGAGTACTGGGTTCAGGCCGCTGGAAATAGAGATATACTTATCTGTGGCCCAGGCGGGTTCGGGGACTCGGCGACGGAAGGATTGCAGGCCGCTGGCGTACCTTTGGAGAAAATACAACGGGAAGGGTTCTACTAGTACGGATTAGCCACCTGGGCAGCTTCATTTAATTAAGTGGTCTCAACAATGAAGAGTAATTTCCTTCCGATGTATTATAAATCAACTACCCCATCTGTTTGAGGGAGGTATCATGCTTCAACAGCAGTTTCAAGCAGAAGACGATTCCCGGCAATGTGGTCCTTGATCACTTGATTCAAATCAAACTCCGTGACACAACTCCAGTCCAACCACTTCTTCACAATAGGCCGTTCCATGAGCCAGTTAGGAGAAAATGGGTGCGGGTATATCTCATAATCCTCAATGAAAGGCTCAGTATCCTTGGTTGTATCTAACCAATGCGCAACTTTAGAAAGAGCGAATTGAGTGTTAGTTTCATCCAAAGAGCCTCGGAGACGTCCATAATATGCTTCGAAGCTTCGGCCGTCAATATCAGGTATGAAAACGGCAATCGTTCGCATGGAAGGGTGTACAAAACTTGTCCCATCAGAGGATGAATGTAAATCTCTCGTTTTGACTTCTTCTAACGATAACAGAAGATCAAGTGTTGCCGCAAATGGTTTGTTGTGGAAAAGCCCCTCTGGGCCAATATTTTCGAGCTCCTGAATTATCCAGCGAAGCCATGGGGCTGAAGGACAGCAGCGGCCCGCTAGATAGAGTAGCGGCGAAAACCCAATTCTTAAGTTCTCACATGTTATCATTGATTCGGAAGAGGATCGCTGGGAGATCGTCAAAGCGGTCCTTGTGTACCGCAGTAATTCATAGACATGGAAATATGAATCTAATTCGATTTTGTGGTCTTCGTCTCCTAGAAGACATAGTGCCCAGAGGAGACGCGCCTTGTAAAAGCTGTACAGTGCTAAAACAAGGCATGACTCCCAAGAACTATGCTTGTGAGGCAGTGGTGGGAATGGAAATTTATCCAGACCTTGATATGAGAACTCATCAAGGTCTAGATGGAATTCCTCTGCTTTCAGAGTTTGAAAGGCTGTTGAGTTATATGTCTTCCAGTCATCCAGAGCTTGCAAGAATGCTAGGATCTTTTCTTTCGAGACAGTCTTATAATGTGCGGCATAAACACACCATATAAGATGCTTGACATCAAGATCCGCAGAGGTGAATTCCAGTAGCTGTTGAATCAATACCGAGGAACAGCTTGCTCCCAATTCAAAGAACGAGGCAGGGAGATTGATCGTCAGCTTTTCTGCGTTCGACAGAAAATTTGGTTCCAATGGGCTGGGAAATGGCCTCACGATGCGACAAATCAACTCCAAGTCACGCAGAGAAGACTCAATCGGTAAGATGAAGTGGCTAGTCGGGTGTTTATCATGCGATTGCATTAAATGGGAATAGTATTGAGTCACTTGAGTATGGCGAATGGCGGCCGGAATATTTCCGGAAAAGCACTGTCATCTCATTTAGTTTCCCCGTACGCCATTAATGGAGACTCTCGACATACCTCGATATATGCCATAAGAATCATAACACCTACTGCCAGAGGTGTAGGGTTCTTTGACTGGTTCATTTCCCTTGACACTCCTTCAAGCGCTCTGATGTATGTCTGGATGGCAGCAATTTTCGTGTCTAGTCCGCGGTCGCGGTCGCTGCCATCTTGTTTCGAAAATAACAAGGTTGCGCGATGCATTGAACCTAGGGCGACGATAGCATCGAAGATCCATTCGGTCTCCCACGCCGCTTCACACAAATAATCTCTCCAGAAATGAAAGCTCTTTGGTGCGAACAAGACCGTTGAGGTTCTGTAGAGATATTGGTGGTATCCCAACATATCACGCGCTCGGGAGTGAGGTCGCTGAAATGGATTTGGATTGACTGGCAACGCCATCAAGGGTAATCCATCTTCGCGAGTTTTTGGCTGCACATACTCATGTTTAGTGAGACTTGCCGGAAGTGACGAACCGCCATTTTGAGCCTCTGTTGTGGTTGTGATTTGTCCCAGATGTCTGGTCTTCACCCGCCGTTTCTCCGCGTATCCAGTACATTCTATATTGGCAACCTCACAGCGTTCACAATCTGGCTTTCTCTCGTCGCATTTTACCCGTCTGGTGCGGCATGTCAGGCAGCCCGTCCTTCTCCTTCGTTTCTCGGTCATTGTGGCCACGGGGTTACCAGGCGAGTGATCTGTGTTGGTCGATTCAACCAGGCAACCCAATTGTCAAATCCAGCATATATCTTGCTTCGAGTCTTCTCGAATCGCCTGTTACTTCATATAGCATTCAGCGAGATAAGTCGAGACTCGAAGCGTTATCAGCGTCACGGTGGCAGTCGAGAGTTGTCAGATCAAAAAGTGATGAGTAATCCAGATGCTAAGTGGTCAAAATATTGGTGCCTTAAACTTTTGGCCGTAATAAAATGACAGGTTTATATCAGTCTCATGTAACAGCACTACTATCCCATCTGCTGCGTTGATACTACCTAGGTATAAAACTCATGAAAACTAATTTTCAAATACTATCTCATCTCCTTGCATCGCCCGGGTACCACAAGTTTGACCACATCCCATGCTAAGCTACTCAACATGGAAGTACCTCATGCCTTATTCTCAACTGTCTCTGCGGTAGCCTTTTCCGAATCTCCAGAGACCCTTGGGCCGGCACTCTCACTTGGACTACCTGTATCTTTAAGAGTCGTTTCCAAATTGGCAGAGCCAACGCATTTGTATCCAGCAAACTTTCGAGCGGGAAGTTGGAGTTCAAACTAAACCCGACTTTAGTTCCGTGCAATCTATAAAATCAAATCAAATCAAACTTACCATTTCATCAATCTCTTCGAGTGTGCGGCCTTTTACCTCTGGCAGATAAAAGTAGATAAATGCCGCAGCGATGAGGCAGGACGGGAACCAGATGTAGCCGTATTTTGGTCTGGGGATCATAATTAGTTCCCACGTATAATAGCTACCCATGGAGCAGTCTTCTTACCCCCAGTTGAGCGAGTCGGGATTGATAAAATACGGAGCGGTAAATGTGCATAGCCACTAATCGCTCAGTTATAAATCGAAAAAAAATTCCGCAATTCCATGTGTTTTTAGACGAAACTCACTGCTCCGAGGAAACCAATAGCTGCCGCAAAGCCGAATGTGTATGATCGAAGGCGCTGAGAAGGAAGCTCTCCACCAGATACCCATGCATATGTTGAAATCATTCCCTGGTGGGAAAAGTCAATAATCTTTTTCTGGGTCATACAGGTTGGAAAGGGTTGGCCTACATTGTATCCAAAAATGAAGATGACGGACAGCCCAACAATTGCCTTGCCCGTTGCCTGAGTACCCGGATGAACAGTATACAGCGCCGCGATAATCAACTGGCTAAAACCGCAAATGATGAGACCAACTGTCAAGAAAAGTCTCCTGCTTCCAATCTTGGTGATGACTGCAATGTTGATCATGATGGCCACGACGCCGAGCGCAGTTAATATGCAGCTGTTCTCGAACGCGTTTCCGACATTCGCCATTTCAAAGAAGTATGTTCCGTAAGCTATCAAGAGAACAAATTAGGATTTTTATCGCTTCCAATTTGTGGGTAGAGAAGAGCTTGTATATACCAATCATAAACATTGCGCCAGAAGCTGCTTGCGTACTCACAGCCGCGACAGACAATAACGTCCTCCGGCGATCGACTGGATTCGAGAACATATCCCAAACCGACACACCACTAGCCAAGTCCATCTCCAATTTTATCGCGTCATTTATCTCCTGCATCTCTTTTTCAACTGTTTCCTGGTCGGGCCTCAGCCATACCAGTGCCTTGCGAGCTTTTTCTTCCTTGTTATGCTGCAGTAACCATCGGGGCGATTCAGGAATGAAAAGCATTCCGATACATAGGAATGCAGGTATGATAAATATCAGACCCAACGGAATAATATAGCTGTTTTTTCCATCTATTTTCGCGGTGAAATTGTCGATAATTGTTCCGAGCAAGGAGCCGAAGGAAGTCCAGAATTGAAACATGCCTAACATGAGCCCACGGTATCGAGCTGGTGAGCATTCCTAGGAAATTTGATTGAGCTTGACTATCGGTTTTCTTTATCGATGGAAGAGACAAACCTGAATGTACAGCTGCGAGAAAGTCATCAAAAATCCGTTGCCCAGTCCGATAACCAGACGGCCAGCGTAAAGGCCCGCGATGGAATCCGTAGTCATCATCACCACATTGGCGACATAGATCAAGACAACTGAAATCCAAAGACATGTCTTCCTTCCAATATAAGTGGCGGTAGGTCCTATTCAAGTTTTCTCCGATCAATCTCTGCTCCTAACTACTAGTCCTTGTTCTAGGGTAGCCTACCAGCTGAACACGATCCCACAAATGCACCCAGAGTCATCAACGAAGAGATCAATTGCTGGCGCTCATGAGGAATATTCCATCCAAGAGCGGTGCTTGGAGCCGGCTCTCCAAAGACCTAAAATTCATAACCCTGGTCAGCGAGCCGTCGATCGAAACAGAGAAGTCGACACTTTCACCTTCAAGAACCCGACCATCGCCTGGAAACCTCCAATGAGAGTGAAATCAACCCCATACTGAAAAGGTGACATAGTAATCAACGAGCAAGCCATCAACGACTTCCAATGGAGCCGAAGCCCACTTTTCTCTCGATTGTCGCCCATGGTGTGTATAGTCCGTAAATGTGACCAAAGACAACAGTGACCGACGCGGATGATAAATAGGAGAGAGAGCTTCAAGCCAGTCTTCAAATGAGCATCACCTGCCCATTCATGATTGGCTTCAATGGGAACAACGCCTCATGCTGGAGAATATACCGAATTCGTCGCATTGCTGGCCTGCTCCATCAGTGGCGTATTACGATCGAGGCCCTTGCCAGATCTTCTGTGGGGCCATGCGGAGATTTGAGGTCTTTCCTTTGTAACATCGGGGAGGAAAGAAAGTGTCGGTCCCATGATTGCATCTTGCATTCAACCGATGCAGGCGCTGAGTGGCTGATTGTGGAGGAGGGGATGAGCCGGTGGATTGAAGCGACGCATTGGTTAAGACGTATCAACTTGTAACTCGCTTGAGCCAATTTCGGTAGCGTATGAAGGAGCTCATTGCCGATCGAACCCCCTCTCGCGCCTTTGGCGCAGGATGGCTTTGGGCATCGTGACTGCGTGAAGAAAGGAGCTTGGGCTCTCGGGACTACAGCTCCCCCGGCAGTTGGATTAGTATGTTTATCCCGGTTTCTATCGTATTTCCCTTGTTCTTTACTAGTCTTCTGGGGAAGTGGGTCGTCAATTCATGTTTTCCCTTTGCTTGAGCTGTCATTTGAACGGCAGGTTGTGGGGAAGATCAGCAAGAGAATGTGGAGAAGCGGGCCTCGGGCATTTCTGGTAATCTGGGGAAGTGGAGGGTTTCACGACTCGGAGACGAACGGCTCACATTTACTTAGCTCTGATGTTTGCAGCCTAGACTGAGAGGGTGCCGAAGAGTATTCTCCTGGAAGGCTGCTCAGGCATGACCCACCTGGTGACTATTGAAACTCGTATCAGATTCATATTTCGACCAGATCTGCAGTCGATTCACACGTGTTAGAGGCTGCATCATATCACAAGGCGTTGAGATGTACCCAGATAGATATCTCTACTACCATTCATGTGTCATGAATTAATAACCATACATCCCGGCTTATATACCTAGATAAATCCCTTAGTGCGAAGCAACTCTCCACTCCTTCAGAGCTTTTGTTGCAAAATGCACCTGGGCAGAATTTCCTGATAACCTTGGAAGTCCAGACCATCCACACCCAAGTTCTTCGCTTACGGTTATTCCCCTTACTCACACATTTTGGAAATTGCCAGGTGCTCACGATTCCGCACGGCTTTATATAGAGCTGACTCAAAGAAGGGCATCCCTAGCATCGATAAACAAGTCTTGCTCCGTCGGATTTCGATACCCAGCATCCACTGCCCTTTCAAAATACCACACCACGCCATTCATTCGCATTCGTCAGTGAAAGAGGGGTCGTACCACCAGTTCGTAGATCCGGGGAAGAGGACTCGGTTTCGAGATACGGCTTAATTTGTTGCAGTATGCCGTTCAAGGCAATTTGCAGTTCTCAATAGGGCTGACTGTCATGGTTTCTTGACCGGCCATTTGAGCGACTTGTGAAGTGTAGTCACAGCTGCCCGGAGGTCATGCATCTTATTTGATTATAGTTGTTTCCGAGTTCTCCGGGAATGAACCTGATTCTCTTGGCGATATGAGACAAGAAGAGGGGTCCAGAAAGCTCGTCATCCAGATAAACACGAGTATTGCTGGGATCAGAGAGACTCGTCGCTCGGGGACGGCGCATCCTACCTAATGCGAATTATATAAGGTAACGCATGATCACAATGGCAAAGACTCATTGGAGGCTGTACATGGCTAGTTCCCACAGATATTGAGGCTCTGAGGGCAGGAAACTGGAGCCAACAGAGGTGAAAAGAAAATAGAACCTCGAGTAAAATAAAATAACTAGGCGGTCATATCTCATCATCTTCGTAAAATCCAGCCAAATCCTAATTGTTCCCCGTATCCCACAGCTACCAGAATATGAGGCATGGTTTGTATGCAAAAGGCATTCATACACACTCATGTTCTGGCAAGCTTCTTCAACATTGACTAAGCCATAGTCCCTCGTCCAAACACGAGGAACTAGTATCAAAGGCAATCCTGAAGCACGTCATCTTATGCCACGAGCAAGCAGTGCGTCGTTCACAGGCACTGCGACGATTCTCGCCTCAAATAATTGGTTCGATCCGTCAGTAATAAAAGGTATACAGTCCCACAAAGGTGATATCACAAGAAGGTTGACTACCCCATCCAATCTTCCTTCAGGTATTCGGCGGACCGATCGGAACCCCTAGACCCCCAGTAGCCCACGGATTCTGCATAACGCGTGCGTTGAGGGCATTAACGTTATAGGTACCATCCTCGGAAACATCATTAGGGTTTCCGCCCGGCCCGGTTGGGGGGTGAGAAACAGAGTGTCTGGCAACAGGACTTTGGGTCGCGACTGGGTGGTGGCTCATATAAGCACCACCAGTGACATTCCCTTGATTGGGGAAGAAACTTTGGTTCAGGGACCCGCAGCTCGTACAGGTGAATTCAATCTTGAAATTCGTCATAATCATCTGGGTAGGAACAGCGGCGGGGTGGTCGCTGCGCGATGGATGGGGGTAACCTGATGGTTTGGGAAGGGGCTCTGGTCCAGCCAGGGGTAAGACAAGGGGGACAGGAACAGCATGGTATCCAAGTGCTGACTGTGATACCATAGGCTGTGTATCGTTATTCAATGAAGCTTGGTTGGGGGGGTCCAATCGGCGGTGGTTGCGGTATCTGCGGGCGAACAGCTTGGGCGGTGCCACGGGGCAGTGCTGGTGAATGCGGTGGATGCGGTAATTGAGATACATGGTTATGTGGAGAAGGAGTCGGATTCATAGCTTCGTCATCCATTAATGTTGGTGGGAGTGTCTCTGGGAGCCAGCGAGTCTCGGACATCGCCCGGTACGCTGGTTCGGGGTCTTCCTGTGATTCGGGTTGGGATTGAGATGGCGATTGCTGATCATCTACACTCATTTCCAAGTCCAGACTGTTATCGGCCTGACTATCAGCTTGTCGTGGCTGCAGCTTTATTAAGGCCCGTTGCGCCTGTCTCATGGAGATATCATATCCGTGATAACGCTTCACGGCATCGACGACCTCCTGGCCTGTAATCTTGCTTTTCATGTCAAATAGCTTTGGGATTTCTGTCAACAAGAAACGAACATGAGAGGCCTCCGAGCGCGCGGGGGTTGCCGCTGGTGTCTCTGCACTCCTTCGACAGCCGTGACTGTCTTGTAGACTTGTGATATAGGTCGAATTCTTGTTCGATCGGCAGACAACGCGGAAGTAGCAATTTGTGCCCGACCGACAACCAATCACCACGCTCTTCTTATTGCTTCGCATAACTCGAAGCTCCCAGTGTTGTCTTACTGATATAGTCCGAATCGCCGTCTTGAACTCTTCGAGAGAAGAGAACCGCTGGCCCGCGTGGAGCCCAGAGTACATCTCAGTCATGTCGGCAACGGCGGGGCACGCAGCAGGGAGGAGAACGACAGAGCAACTGAAGTTTCAGCCGCGACGGTACAGGGGATAACTTCCATCAGGGTTTGGATCGTGAATCGCACAGCCTCGAGTTCACGAGCTCAAGGAACTCAGGGACGCGGTGCTCGTTCAAGTGTGGAGCGGAGCGGAGCGCGCGCTGAGGGATGTTTAGCCTGTCATCGAGGAGTGTTATTAGTGTTAGATGGAATGTTTATCCAACACTTTTTGCCTTGGCTTAAGATTGAAAGGTTCGGGGGGGGGGAGTGAAGTGGTGGTGAGGAGTTGAGCTAGTTGAAACTCTGGGGAGAGCAAAAGGTCGGGGAACTTGCAGACCGCTCGCTCCTTCACTCACTTTTACTTTCAATTTCACTGGCTGGCAGCACCAGGTCCTATACAAGCACTGCATTCGAATTCTCTGAACTCTATTGAAGCTGCAATCCTCTTCTTTACTGTCTCATCATACATCACTCTCCAGTTATGGCTTCCTACGGCCTGCTGGGCCAGCAAGAAGAAGGTCGAGTTCGATCCCGCCAACCCCAGGCCAACCGCAACAGCTACAAGAACCCCCCCCCCCCCAAAGCTAACTCCAACTAGACGCCCTTCACAAATCGCGCCTTCTAAACGTCGAAGAAAAGCCCTTTAAGCGCATCTCCAAGCGCATCCTCAACCCAGAGTCCCTCGTCATCTCCAACACCCAGACCGCAACCCCTCCACCAGAAGACTCCTCTTCATCCTCACTCACCTCCGAAAAACAAAAACGCCTCGACGAATGGCGCCATTTCCGCGAAGATGTAACCCTAGACTTCGTAGCCTTTGAAGGCAGCATCGCGCGCATCCAATTCCTCCTGACAAGCAACGAAAAAGAGCGCGAGCGCTACGCGACCGAAAAACTCCGCATCCTCGAAACAATGCAATCCGTCCGCGGCAACACAGCCGAACTACGCGCCCAACTAGACGAAGCACAGCGCCTCCTTGCCTTGCGGAAAAGCTACGACGAACTCGCCGACAAGATCACCAGCAACAGGCTGCTCAAGCCGCGCGAAGACCAGCAGGCCAATCTGCAAAAACTCGAGTCGGAAATCACCGAGCTGGAGAAGGAGAGCAAGGATTACGCTATGACTTGGGCGGAGCGCCGCGAGCAGTTTGGCCGCATTGTTGAGGAAGGTATGCAGCTTCGTCGGCTGATTCGTGATGAGAAGGAGGAGGTTGAGCGGAGGGAGGGGATGCAGGAGGGGGAGGATGGGGATGAGGGCGATGCCAATTCCAAAGGGAAGATTAGTGCTGCTAATAGTCCTCGTCCGGAGGCGGAGGGGGGGCTCGACTCCGTCGCAGAGTCAGGATGAAAGTGGGCGGTTGCAAGTTGAGAAGGGTGGGAATGCGAGAGGGGTGTCGCCGCTGCGAAATGCGACAAGTGTGCAAGGCGAAAAGTCTCGGTCTGATCAAGAGGATACAAATATGATGGATGAGGGTGAAGTGAGAGACGATGAGACGGGCAACCACTCTGATCTGGAGGAAGGCGAAGAATTGCCCGATGACCGAGACGGGGGGGAGCATATGGATACCACCTGAAGATTTCAATATAAATGTCTTTTACTAGTAGCATGGAGTTTAGGGTCTGACTGGGGGCGTTGGTTGCTGCTCTTGTTCTTGGTCATTGGCAATCAGGAGTTTCATAGTTTCAAAATACATATGCATGCATTCAAGTTTTGAGTTATTACTAGTACTAGTATGGATGCCTAGGAGCATCTGGGTATTTCTTTTCTTTATTGAATCCTTTTGAATCCTTGAGGGATTTCGCTCAAGAGATCTCCCGCTCAGCGGTCTTGGCCTTCGCGATGGCTTCTTTCGCGGCGGTGATGTGCGCAACATTGCTCTCGGCGCCCTTCTGACCCTCTTCGGTCTATAGAAGCGTCAGTATTGATTGACGGCAGGTATTCAAGACAAGGAGAAGTGGGTTTCAAACTCACAATCAAGGTCTGTAGGTCAGCCACAGTGCTGGCGATCTTGGTCTTCAGGGTTGGCAAGACCTTCTTGGTTTCCTCGAGGGCCAGGTGCTATTTCAATCAGCCTTTATTCAACAACATAATCCATGGCACAGCCAAAAAACTTGCTCATTCAAAGGGAGCTCGTTCAATAGTGAAAACACCATGATGAACACATACCTCTTGCTTAATCATGTACTCCTGGTTCTCATCTTCGCCGGCCTGTGCACCCTCCAGCTTCTTGATACGGGCCTCCTGTTGGATCAACTCATTGTGATAAGAAGCCTCTTCCTTAACTAGGCGAATGACCGAGGAAGTGGTGATTTCAAGTTGAGAGCGAGGAGCCATGGTGAGTGAGATAGAGCTAGTGGGTAGTCAGTATGGTTTTAAAAGCAATTGATTTCAAGTGATGATGCTAGTTATGGGTTCAAAAGAGGCTAGTCTCCTCAGTTCAGTCAGCCTGCTAGCAACCATGCAAATGGCATCTGGCGAGGATCATCCATGCAGCATGCCGCCGCGGGGTCTCGAGATATTTCAATTTGCACAATCAAGCTCACCCCAAGCCTCTGAATTGGAAGTCAAACATGTGAAAATAGATAGAAACACTCACATATGAGGACTGGTTAATTTTCTTTTCTTTTCCTCTGGTCTCGAGCAATTCGTGATGTTGATTAAAGGTGGCCAAGACTCGAAGCGCTGCCCCTCTGGTAGCACGTGATGAGTGATATCAGGTTTGTCTTGTTTGCATTCAACCTGGTCACGTGTATATCATGTGATAGGCTACTAGGAGATGAATGGAAATGGAACTTGTGAAGGACTCGATGTCTATAATTATTATATTCACATTGCAGGCAGGTATCAAATATCGCATGGTATTCGAAAAGGCACTGCGAAACTGATAGTCACCAAAGTATATAGGATACCCTAAGGTACCTTAAGGTAAGGTAGTTGGACGATACGGAGTACAATGCGATAACTTGAAGATGATATAACTACCTTATAGGCAGACATGGTAATCAAATTGATACTAGAATTTGCGACACTGAATATAATTTCAATTTGATATATCATAGCTCCTTCTAGGCTCTCAACAGAAATAGTAATCATCTCCTATTTGATTGTCCTCAAATCACCTCAGCCACCACTTCGACTCTATGGCAAAGTCATCTGGCCGCAGCCTCGGCCAATAAGCGCCCCGTCTCGAAGCTCCTTGCCATGCTCACTCCGCCCCGGCCGCATCAAAGAAGCAGGATCTCATCAATCCCCCAGTTCTTTTCGTGCTGTTTTCATTTTCTTGTACACTTCCGATGTCACCTTTTTACCTTGCATAAACCGGTCGAATTTGCTGTCTTGAGCCGACCATGCCAGTCCCATCTCTCAAACACCTGGCGACAGCCACAGCAATCAAGCATGTCAAGAGTAAGTGGTTGGAATCTTGGGCTGAGATGCCATTCTATCGAATCTTTTTTTTTCCTTTTAATCTAATCTGTTTCTATCTTCATTTAGTGCTGGACGATATCGGCAGCTTGCCCTATGCCCTTGCTCGCCCCGTGCTGCTCAAAGTCGACAACCCCGAGAAGCTGGTAAGTGGTTCATAAGGAACTCCTTTCCTACCATGGTCTTGATACAGATATACCAGTTCACACACCACTGCTTATAAAACCATGCTAATCTATCCCCTTTCGTCTAAACTAGCATTCAATGGAACTCCTCTCCCCACACCTCGCCGAAGAAGACCAAGAATTATGGCTCGAGTTCATAAAACGCGACATTCCCCAATGGGACACCTATGATATCCCACAGCAATCCAATCAGTGGTACGACATCTACTGCGACCTCCGCGAAGAAGTCCAGCGCTCCCTCGACGCCGACGCCGAGAAATTAAAGATGGCCATCGACGGCATCCAGTCCGAAAAGGCCCGCCTAACCCCCAAAATAATCGCCGGACCTCGAGGCAAACACAGACCAAGCGTGAGACAATTCTACGCCTCCAAAGATCGCAGAATGGGGGGAATCCCCCCCACCCTCCAATAAATCCAGCGGCAACAACAACAGCTCGGACTCATCCTCGAGCTTCACCTTCGGCAGCTCCTCCCGCGTATCCGGCTTCGGCTCCGCAGGCTCCAAACCACCCAAGAAATCTATATTCGCGCCCCAACGCAGAAACAACGCCCTGGCCATCCCAACAAAACACCTCAGCACCCGCGCCTCCCTCGTGAAGAAAGCCCCGCGCTCCCTAATCGAAGAACATCGACGGCCCATGGACCCGCCTGCGCCAACTTCGTCAGGCTCATCCTCATCATCGCGACGAGACAGGGAGGCAGGCGTGCTAACCCAATCAAACGGACGGGCTCGACCCGGCAGTATGCCCGTTTCATCCAACCCAGCCTTTGGTCCCAAGAGTGCCGCGTTGGCGGAGCGAGAGGCCCGTTTGCAAGCTATCGCCTCAGGCAAACCTCTCCCCACCCATAGCAGTGCCGACTCAAAGAATCCCACTTCTCGAGATGCCCCCGCCTCACCAGCTAAGCGGCCGATTCTCAAACGACGTGCTGTTTCTCCCCCGACGTCTGTACCTGTGACTTCTCAGGCTTCGCCGCCGCCGCCCGCGCCCCGTCCGGCTGTTATTCGTAAACGTCCGGATAGTGTGTTTATCCAGCCGAAGCGTAAACGAGCTGGGTGAAGCGTGGTTTTTGATACCTGTATCACCTTGGCTTAAATTCCCAGTTTGGTCGCGGGACTCACGTCCTCCAAGGAGGCAAGAAGGCCCACGGCCTTTGGCGCAAACCATAAGTCCTCTCTCTCCCCCTCTGGAGAAGAGGCCGCTATATACCAACAATGGCTGGTCTGATACCGCCGTCTCGCTGGGTCACATATATCAGGCAGGCACGTCTTTGTCTCTACCTTAGCCAGGACTCTGCTGCAAACTCAGGCCGTAAGAGGACAGGAGAGCTTGGCTGTGATGTCGCTTTCTGCCGCTACTGCTCTGCTCACACCGGCTCTTGAGTATCGACACCGTCCACCCACCCACCCACTCCATCGGAGAAATAATGTCCATGCGGTATACCACCGCTAGCCTCACTCTACAATCAGCTACGGATGGGAAAGCCCAAACAATATCGCCACATGGGGTAGGAACTGCTACAGAACCAATTGCATCGCCGCATCCGTTATACACGTACACCCCTCCGAAATACATCACATCTTCCTTGGAATACACTTGGTGTCTAGAATTTGATAGCGGGATCAGAAGGTTTTATGTACAATTTTACAATCTGAGTCTTTCCTCCGTCCACGTTTGGAACATAAACTAGAGAAATGCAAATACCCGATAATCCCGATAATGAGAGCAGCCTCGTCCCAAGGCAGAAGAAATACAGACAAGGTGATAGAGTCAACTTGAAATTACCAACCCAGAAATACCGAACCGGGGTGAGCAAAGCAAGAACAAGGAGAGAAATAACCAAGGGAAAAAAAAAAGAAATCGCTTAATAAAGATGCATTGCGCTCGCGCCTAATGTTCGGACCGGGGTGCTTAACTCAGTCGCATTGCTAAAGGAACTTGAACACATAACAAATGGTATCGGTATTGGTATCGTATCTCGGGGAATAGGACTGCTTCAAGTTGCTCGCAACTTCGATCTCGACTTTGACTTTGACTTTTGACTTCCTCACTTCCATTCTACTAGTAAACTATACCAGCAGGTCACGGCTCTAGGTTCACAGGCCACCGCGCAGGGCGAGAACAAGGTGCAAAGTTGCGCCGCCGGTTAGGCTGTATTCGGATGCTGTCTTGTCGTCGGCCCTTGAGAGAGGAGGGGGTTATTAGCTTGTTTCTGTCTGCCTGGTGTGGATGGGTTGTTTGCTGTAGCGCGCGAAAGAGGAAGTGAAGTGAGGTGAAGTGGGAGTGGGAGTGAGGGTAGGTGAGGGGCGTACATTTGCTTTCCGCCGAAGATGAGTCGTTGTTGGACTGGGGGGGATGCCCTCCTTTTCTTCGACGCGCTCCTTTATCCGGGCAACCTGGTGTTTATATGGATTAGTTATCTGGTGGGCTGATTGGTTGTGTGGTGGGAGTTGGATGTAGGAATGCTGGTTTGGTTGCGGAGGTCGCGTGTAGCATGCGGGTAGGCGGGTAGGCGGGTAGGTAGGTAGACAGGTAGGTTGGCGGATATGTACTCACCTTGTAGTCGGGCTCGATGTCCAGCTCGATTTCCTTGCCAGTGAGGGTGCGGACTCTGAAGGTGGACGTGTTAGCGGGTGATGATCGGCTGGTGCAATGGCGGGGAAAGGGGACGGTGGAGACTTACTTGATCAGCATGTTGAATAGGTGATCACTTTTGTATGAGGAGATAGAATGAAGGAGCAAGGATTGCAAGCTCGCTGGTGGGATTGGAGAAGAGTGGACTGGGGGAAGGAAGAGAGAGCCGCGTTGGCGGGGTCTGGTGGGGCGGAAGGAAGCCTGATTGCCTGATTGATAATGAGGCTACTCGTGCCCAGTTGGATATGTGTATTTGAGGTGGTCTCTAGAAAGAATCAGAGTATCTTCAGTTATTCTAAGTTATCTTAGATCTTAGAATAACTTGAATAGATCGAATATACCTAGGGGCGGGTTAAGTACCGCAGATGGATGTGACGTACGGGCCAGAATATTCTCCGAGTGCCAAGCTATCCATGGATGGTTGGAGATGTCTGTTCTTTTGTTTTATTTCCAAAAGTGGTTTTCTGTCTCTTGGGTAATTTGAATCTTATTGTTTGTTTGGTATACTAGAGATATCACATATAGTATTTTTTAAGAGTTGGGGTTGCCCAGGTGTGAATTCAATACTAACTAGGCACTGTCAGGTAAATAGTAGACCTTCCGATATATATTATCCCACGGACTCACTCAACATCCGCCAGTGTCAACTTGAAAGTACCTACTACTAAGTTGAGGTAAAATATAACTGGGACACCAATAATAAATCCTTACTAGTACATCCTGATAATTTCAGAACTAGAGCCCTGGAGTATCACTTGGAGTGTTTTATGGGATTCCCTCCAGCTATACTGCCCTACAGTACAGTATATAGTCACGTGACATGACTCAGCAGCACCCCGAATCACCCAAAGTGGATTAGCGTGTACCCGAATAGGGCCTAAGCGAAACGAATCCCACAACCCAAGTTATCCGCCTCGATCTTCTCCGAACGACAACTAACGACACCCACCACGCAAGCCGGCAAGTTCAGTCAAAATGGTAAGACACTTTCCTTCAGGTTTCCGTGTCATCCAGTCTCCGTTCGAAATACCTGGGACCTTTGCGTCCTCGTGAAGATATTGTGCGCCCGGGATCTCGAATTATGTGTGCGTTCAACAATGTGTGCGGCCAACCTCGAATTCAATTTCACCAAATCACCCCGGACCGAGACCCTCGCAACCCGTCATAGCCTCCTACCGTCGTCGAGAAAATGAATGTATCAAGAGAGCGCTCGGCGGGAAATATACAACAATTCGATATCGACTCAAAAATCGACCAGACAAGATGGATCCAGACCCCGAGGCGATAAACCAAGCTGGTAAAAACTTGGAGAGTTGCGACCGGCTGACTGGGAGACAAGGGGAACCAGAGACATTGAATCGAACATGCCACGAATAACCATTGGTTACTTCCGCTGTCATTTTTTGCTCTGGCTTCCCTCGTTTCCCTCCCTCCGGTCCCGCGCCCGCACGAGCTACCCGCCCGCACACACACATATATTCCACATATCACACATCCCACCCGCGATCGCGATTTCGAACCCAGACTCGGAGACACTGCAACTTGAAACCCTCCCACTCTCACGCGTGACCCGAAGCTCATACTCTACGTCTAGGTCAACATTCCTAAGACCCGCCGGACTTACTGCAAGTCCAAGGAGTGCCACAAGCACACCCAGCACAAGGTCACCCAGTACAAGGCTGGCAAGGTGAGCAAAAGCCCCTCCACCCCGGGACCCATGAGATCCAGCGCACTGATATTCATACTCTCTCCAGGCCTCCCTGTTCGCCCAGGGTAAGCGTCGTTACGATAGAAAGCAGAGTGGTTACGGTGGTCAGACCAAGCCTGTCTTCCACAAGAAGGCTAAGACCACCAAGAAGGTTGTCCTGCGTCTTGAGTGCACTGCTTGCAAGGCCAAGAAGCAACTCGCCCTGAAGCGCTGCAAGCACTTCGAGCTTGGGTACGTTTTCACCCCCTCACCCTCCCTCCCTCTCGCCTCTACATCTACCTCACGGTTGAAGATGGGGTCGAGAGTGGATTGTACCCCGTACACGACGATGCTAATATTCCTTCCTTCTACAGTGGTGACAAGAAGACCAAGGGTGCTGCTCTTGTCTTCTAAGCGTGGAATTTCCTTGTTCGGCTTGTGGGTTTCGCATTGCATCCTTCGCTGTGTTTGCGGAGGACATATGATGGCAATGGAAAAAAGGAAATAGGATTTCATACCTTCAAAACAACTCAATGATTACCATATGATGTTTGCATATTCGACTGTAGATAGGTGGTTGGTGTAGACTCGGGTGTTTCCAACGTCTGTAGTGTCTGGAATGGGCGAGCCCTTGTGTGCTCTAATTCAGTCATGTCCCACTTACTGCGAAACAAAGTCCACCTTGGAAGTCTGCTCAAGGTCAGGACCTTGGAAATCTAGACCAGGTAGGTACTCAGCAGTAGTTGGTTTTCCAGGGCGAAATGTGGTTTGCTGTCATGCTACTCCAAGTATTTCATCCTGCCGTTTACAATTTGACACGCTTTGACTCCATGATTCACGCCCGTCTGGGCAGGTGTTGCTCCAGATCAAAGTACTTCGAGTTTGACAAGTAGCGGGCATACTTTGATTTGACATTTCAACGTCGCTCGCCGTACTATTTCTCTACTATTTCTCAACTCCCTTCAACATGGCACCGAAACTCTCAACAATAGAGCAGGCTTGCAGACAAAACTCGGTGTGACTCCCCTTACCAGCGTTGAACTGGCCCAGGCATATCTTAAGAAAATTGACAAACATGGTCAGCGAGGTACGAAGCTGAACGCGATGATTTCCATTGACCCCGAGCATACTCTGACGGAGGGATCAGCATAGCTTGACCGCGAGCGAGCGACGGGAGCGAGAGGCTCATTCCACAGTATACCCATTCTGGTCAAGGTGTATCTTTTCAAGTACGCATGTACTTTGGGGACTCAACTGGCCTCGCATAGGATACCATTACGACACAATCCTCCCTCGAACTTGGAACGTGTTGGATAGTTTTGCATTCAAGAATTAGATTCCCCAAAGAGCGTAAGCAATTGAAGCTTGGCGGAATGAGGTCAAAGTTCCGGCCTAAAACGATTGAAGAGATTATCAAATTTAACTTGGACCATAGAGAGCTGGGGTTGATAGAGATTATGTATTACACTCTGCATGTGTTCCATTATGCTGACTGCTATCCCCCTAAGCCCACCCAGATCAGAACCAGTTGCTAAAAGCTTCCCGGGAGTCTTTATCACAACAGCTATATGAGACCGTCAAGGGGCGGATCAAGTGGATCTACAAAGACAGTGGCATACAAAACTGTTCTGTGAGTAGAACTTGAATGTCATTTTCTTCCTTATCTCGGTATAATGGCTCAGTCTGGTAGAGAGGTCCTGTTGTTGCAGTGCCTTCCAGGCTCCCTTCCCGCCGCGTGTTTTGCCCTCTCGGATACAAGATGATACCTGATCAGACCTTAGATTTTCTCAATATAACTTGAATGTTGCTTTTGTTGGACTAATAAAGGTGCTAACGGCTCACATTCCACTGACTAGACAAATATGGTAGAATTCGTGCTGATCTTGCTTTTATGAGCAGTTCGCATGGCCAACGGATGAATCACGCACTCGAAGAGTCGGAAGCGGTATATCTGGGTCCAGGATATTTTGATCCGTTTGGAGCGTTGTGATTTCGGGTTTACTGCCTAATTCCACAAGAATTCATGGGATTATTGATCTGAACATCACAAACAAGATACCATCAAGGTATTGGATTTGAGAAATCTCCCAAAGGAGCACATAGAAATCATCTACGATGTGACAGAAAGCGAATACAGCCGTGTGTGTAGCTAAAAGGAGAAGAAATAGAAAAAAAAAAGCCATTTCGAATGACAGTAAAGCTGGACCAAATCCCCCCCCAGACACTCGGCTCTCTTCGGACACGCTCATGATACTCATTCGAAGACCCTAGCGGTCGCAGAACTAGATTCTTCAAGCCACAGCCAAGCATCGGAGTTCCTCCAGATCACCTATCTAGCCCATCCTGGCGATTAAATGCGAACGGCAAAGGGCGTAACCTATCCCCAACGCGGCAACTCGCGAGTCATGCCCTTCACCTCCCCACACCCCCACGCCGAGACTCCCAAAGCTAAGACCAACCGTCTCCAACGACCCAATAAAAAGCCATGAAAACCGAATACCCCAGAGAACACTCCCAAGGATGCTTTATACAAAGTTTCGCTCGTCCAGGAGCAGCACCAACCGAAGCTGATCTGCTCGTATCTCGCTTCCCCGGATAGCGAGCGCGCCCCCGCATTTGGCAGAATATCATTGCCATCTCGGCTCTCCTCCGAGAAAGATGGCTGGCACCAACCGTGTCACCCACCTCGGGCCATCGGACAAGGACCGTGTGTCATCGTGATAGATAATGTCTAGTCAGCCGCTGTCTGGAATGAAGAATTCCCCACACTCCACCTCCGCCTTTTCTCTTTCCCCGGACCTCAATCAGATCTCCCTTTCTAGCGATTTGATTGCACGACACTCCACCATGACGCTGTGGTACTCGCTCGGGGTAGCGTTCTTCGCTGCCATCGGCACATTCCTCTTTGTATGTATTCACTATAGCATCGCCCGTTGTTATACCGGTTGTATTATACCATGCATACCTTGAAATATCAGCTGATCAAACTAGGGATTCGACACCGGGATCGCGACAACGAGTATGACCCCCCGAAACCGAAAATGCACCTTGAACCAATGATCCTAATGACGAATAGCAATCGCCCACCAAAGCTGGATCGATTATATGGCCCAGCCATCCAAGGGTCTGACCGGTGCCGTAGGTCTCATCCAACTTAATTCCACCTGGGCATTCGATTCGTCCCTGCTATCAACCCCCCCACTAACAAGCAAGCACAGGTTGTCGCAGTATACATCGCCGGCGAAGCCCTCGGTGCCCTAACCCAAACATTTATCGGCGATAAACTCGGCCGTATCCGCTTCATGCAGCTAATGTGCATAATCGTGACAATCGGCACCGTCATCCAAACCGCCTCTGTAAACATCGGCATGTTCCTCGCCGGCCGAGTTCTAGCCGGATACGCCGTGGGGTAAGCTATCCTATCCACACCAACCGCAGAAAGATCCGATCCGATCCGTTCACTGACACGATTGACAGCGGAATGGTCGCCACAGTCCCAATCTACCTAAGTGAGATCTCCGACCCACGCGTCCGTGGCCTAATCGGCGGAATTTCCGGCTGCGGCATCTCTTTCGGCACAATGATGTCGAACTGGGTCGGGTACGCGTGTAGTTACGCCCCCTACGGCCCAGTACAGTGGCGACTCCCGCTGGGCATCCAGATCCCCTGGGGCGTGATAATGTTCATCGGATTGTCGACCTTTATGCCGAACTCGCCGCGGCAGCTGATTCGTAGCGGCAAGGTCGAGGACGCGGCGAGGGAGTTTACCAGGATTCGCCGTGGTTTTGGTGAGGAGGAGGTTCAGCAGGAGTTTGCGCTTATGCAGGCACAGATTGAGTATGAGATGGAGAGGGAGATCACTTCTTATAAGGAGATCTTTAAACTTTATCGGTCTCGGGTTTTGGTGTATGTTTTTTTTTTTCAATCTTCTATGGCATCCCCACCCCCACCCGCACTCCGCGTTTCGTTATTTCCTCTTTGGGGAGGGAGGTTATGGGGCGTATTGGGGGTTCAGTGGGGGTGTTCTGTTGGAATTATGGCTAATTAGATTGCTCCACTAGGTCTATTGCCGTGCAAACGATGACGAGTTTGACGGGTGTGAACGTTATCCAGGTATGTTGGATTGAAAAGTCGAGATACAGGCAAATGGCATATCCGTACTAACATTTCACTGTATAGTATTATCAAAGTGAGCCAGCTCTCTCTTTCACCGGCTATAAGGGTCTCCAAGTCAAGATCCAGACTAACCGTTTCAGCAATCTTGTATAAATCGCTCGGCATCGGCTCCCACTCGATTCTCGCTCTCGCTGCCGCTTATGGAACGATAGCCTTTCTCTCCAACGCCCTAACGACAAAGTACCTGACAGATCAGTGGGGACGACGCAAGTACGTGAGCCGTTGGAACCGGAGCTTAACCTTTTCCTTTCCCTTCTCCCCTTCGATTCGCTTTGCCCTTCTCCACATGCTAACGTCACGCACCAGGATGATAATTACGGGTCTAGCCGGAATCGTGCTGATCGAGATCTATGCGGCTGTCATGCAGCGAGTGTTCCAGAACACGGATAACCGCGTCGGCAAGGGATTCGCTATCCTCGGCATCTATCTGTTCGTCGTGTGCTACTGTGAGTTTGACTTGGCTCCACTTAGAACCCTGGGAAGCAGAAGGAAGGGTGGGGATGGGAGGGGAATGCTAGCTGTGGATGATTGACTGACATGCCTGTGGCGCTTGCTTAGATGGTATGCTTAATAGTACGACATGGTTGTATGGAGCGGAGGTCTTGCCCATGGCCCTGCGGAGTAAAGTTATGGGGTTGGCGGCGGCATCGCACTTTATCGTCAACGTCGCAAGTGAGTTTACATTCCGATCAAGTCTATGTACATTCTACTCGAGACCTGCTGCTAATTTATTTATTTCTTTTAATTACAGTCACCGAAGCGGGCCCTAGTGCCTTTGCCAATATCCATGAGAACTATTACTACGTTTTTGTGGTTTGTTCGGCATTTTTCTTGGTGATCGCATACTTCTTCTTCCCGTATGTTCTGAACAAATGAGTTTCCTTCTTTCGCCCCAGGCACCCAAGGCATCAACATGGACCCCGCTAATGCGTTTTCCCAGGGAAACAAAACAAAAAACTCTTGAAGAAGTGGCTGCGGCATTCGGCGACCGTGTTATTGCCGCTGATGATAATGCCAAGCGGGCGTCAGGTGTCGGTGAAGCTCAACATGTTGAATCGGCTCGGGCGGCAGAGCCCTGAGCGTTTCCTCACCGATGTCGGTGATGAGGACGGGAGTATTGGGCACCTGCAGTTCTGTAGGAAATTACCATATTGAGCAAAACAAACGAGAAACGCAGAATGTGAATCTAGAATCCAGTACATGCTATGCGTCAAAGAGACTTCTTCCCAACTAGGAAGGAGTCGCATTAGGCCATGAAACGTAATATTGATTCAGCATGCACAATGATGCATGGAATCGAGGAAAATATGCAAAGAAACCTAAAAGTACAGTGGCGAAAAAACATAAACGCAGGTTTCATTTCAGCCACCTTGAACTAAGCCGATCGTAGCTCTTTTAGGAAGAGGTAGAAATGGCGCCCCTTGAATTGGACAGGTCCAATTTCGGAAGTGTCCCCCCCCCCGGGCATTGACTCGGGAAGATCGGAGACCGCCGCTAATTTGGGGCGCAGAGCCCTCACACATTCTAATGCAAAAGCTGCATTTTTATGCCACCATATTTATCCCTGTACATAGAGCATATTAGTACTCTCAGAAAATGATGAAGATTTATGCCCTATTTACAGCCACTTCGCGCTGTTTGGGTGACTACTTAGGTAATATTGAGTTCAGACTAGGGGCTCAATAGGAGTGTTGCTCCAGTGCGCTATTGGAGAAACCCACTGGCAGTCCCTAAATCACAATCATAACACACCATATATGAAATCTTTGTTGCGACGCTTTATTAAGAACTTCCAAGGTTGAATTTCAGGGAATTTTCAAGGTTCTGAAACCCTTGGAAATATTAGAGACAGATTGAGCTGAAGTAACTTGAAGAAATACAACCTACTTGTACCTCAAACAATTATGGAGGCTCTGCGTAGCTTGAGCCCCACTTAGATAGGGAATTGTGTAGTAGGTACTAGGTATCATGACCGGATAGGCAAATCTCACTGCTCATCAGAGTCTCATGATTTTAGTAAAGGGAAAAACACTCCCCAGCTGAATACAAGAGTAAGCAGGGTACTATCATTGAGTTGCAGTACAATTGTAGGCTATTAGTGCCTATTGACAATGAAGTCCATTCCTATCCATGTTTGTTTTCTTTGTTGAAAAGAAAAACAAATCCCCTAAAAGATTACCTCCCCCCTCCCTACCCTTTCCCCAATAGCTACTCAATGGCTGTCCCCTTCATTTCAATAACCACTTTGTATTCCTAGAACTAGACTCTCAAGGCGTGCAGTTCTGTCCCACAGCCTGAACAGACATGTCGATGACATTTCCAGACTCGGCGGTTATCTTTTGCTGTCCACCAGAGCAAGTGGAAGAAGAACCGCAGCACTGGTCCCTCACATCATCAATTGCATCGTTGATCTCGCTTCCGGTCAGAGACACGGCGGTGCTCGGGGCACGGTTGACAATACAGATCTGGGCTGTACCCTGGATCCAAATCAATGCCCGGTGCTGAGGAATCTGCTCATCGCCAAAATCGGCCCTATCAAAGATATTGTTAGTGATCTCTATGCTTATAGCTTCCTCATAGACGTACTGAACATTTGAGGTGTCGAATGAGCCTCCGCCACCACAAGATGCTGCGATAGCTGTCGCGGCAAGAGCAATCGCTGACAAGACGGCGAATTTGTAAGTCATGGTCGTAGTAAAAGGGATAGTAATGGTTGGATATTGGAGAATCAAATAATGAGCAAAGAAAGTTGATGCTTTGGTAGTATGAGTGTAGCGGTATGAGTGAAACAAAAAGCTCTGGAAGATAGTATGAAACTTGAAGGCTCAACAAGGAGCTTTTATACTTGATTGATTCCTAGTATTCTTTACTACGTTGAGCAACTATATCGTATCCATCTCTCAAATCAGAAACTGGTCGACAGTATTTCCAGATGCACAAAGTCCAGCTCCTTTCTGCTTCAGCCGCTTTTAAGGCTGCTGACAGCACTTTTGTTGTAGAATTAGGCCGGCATCATCCACCAATAACATTAGCTTCGGTACATTCAAGCATTGTCCTGACACATTTGTATATACTACCATTGGTCGGCGATCCTCTGGAATTATAGTAGGTACACCAGGCTCCAATGTAGTAGAAGTGCCACACTCGTATTGAAGTGCAGATTATACCAGGATCTTGTTGGGACACACCTTAGTCACTTAACCATCTCTTTCTCTCACACACTCACATGGCACACAGCACTCTCTCCCCCTTTCTCTAGCGTAGCAGCTTTAGTCAAAAATGTTCCTTAATTCACTCACTAAATTACCCTTTGAGAATCATACTCTTTAGTATTATAACGCTACATGCACCCCAGCCGGTGGCAGGGGTATGCTAACCCATACGAGCTGTTACATTCAGGGCTGACTGCATATCGATCAGGGTTCTCAGGTAACCAAGCATCACCAAGCATTTTTTGGTCTCACCTGCAGACACGTGGACCTATAAACTACGCTGGCCATGAAGATAAAAGGTGGAGATGAACACGTTCCTGACGAGTGGTCATTGTTATGGGGTGATGGAGTGGAGGGCGGTAGCGGTAGGCTTAGCTCCTCACCGCCTGTCAAGCCCATTCTGGAGGCAGTTTCGAGCACTCGAGGCAGATTCAGTCAAATTTAGCGCCGGACCCATCTTGAGGAGAGGGAAAATAACCCGGTTAACCTATGAGCATCGCTGAATTCAGCTTTATGCCATTTTATTGAAATTCAAACATAGACTACAGCACCACTTGACCAGAGCTATTGAAGGTTCCTTTACCTACCACCTGAAGAGATAATATTTTTACACACTGTGAAACAACACACACTTCGGAATCACGAAATTAGGCATGATGTCAATAAACAAATAGAATCACCTTTGAATAATCTGGATGGCTGTACGGAGTACGGAGTATTGCTGCGCCTCTAGCTGAGAATCAGCCACGTTTAGGCATAAACGTAATATTGATTCAGAACGCAGAACACTGCATGGCATTTAGCTAGAGGAGAATAGAATACACAAGTACGTGGCGACGGACGAAAGGAAGCACACAGACACACTGGCAGGCACACGCAGGTTTATTTCAGCCATCATGAGCCAAGTCGACCGTAGCTGATTTAGGAAAAGGTAGAATGGCTTCTTGGGCTGCCCAGATGGACTGGTCGAATTTCGGAAAGGAGGCCCACTGGTTTTGCTCGGGAAGATCGGAGATCTGATCTCAGGGCCTCTGATCCTCCTGAAACGTGATCGTCTGGGGAATTCCCAGACCGGAGACGCAGACACATGGGCAAGGAAGGTTAAAATGTTTGGTCGCTATTAATCATAGTGTTTTTTTTCCAATCAACTAGTCTCCTCCCCATCCGATGCAGGAGCCCATCCTTCCGAAAAACTCTACCACCACGCGTCTATTCCCCATGCTGGTGATCGTTAGTCTCGTATTCCGATTCTGTGGGTTGGAAAAATAGTCCGATCGGCGGGGACGCTACGCTATTCGCCATGCCTCACCCTCACCACTGCTGCACTGTCAATCTCTTCCCCGTCCCTCTCTAGTGCATTTTTGTATGCAGTCTGGAGTACGGAGTAAGTACGGAGGACGGAGTAAACACGGAGTCTTCCATACTCCCTGCAGCGATTTCATGCACTCCCAATTAACATAATTATTCCATAGAGAATCCTTGCCCTAGAATGTCAGACGTCGGCAAAGCGTCGGCTCTGCTTTCACCCCCTTCAAACTTTATCGCCAGGAACACGAGGCCCGAGCCCTCGCTAACGTCGATAGTTCGCACACATTCCGGGGGACAACCATGCCATGTGTGCAATGAGGATCCCTTGCTGATCGCAACGGACCAAGAGTCTAACTGCCGTCTATTGATCCGCAATGGAAGATCTTCGTGTCTTCTATGACAAAAAGAACAATTTTTTAAAAAGAGTCATGAGATGAAGTAGGTAATAAAATGAAAATGTAGTTACTCCGTACATGCACAGTTCACCAACATCACCGCCCGCGTGGGAGACCCAATAGGGTAGTCTGTTTTCATCCACCTACGTAGGTACAATTCCTACACAACCACAGTGGGGATACACTGATTCATGCACAAATAGATACTCTGTCGAGGTCCCCGTAAATACGAAGACTATGTGTAGGGGTACCGTTGGGTCATTCTCGATAGCTCCAGCCCCAGTTCCAGCCCTCAGCCCCAACCTTGAGCCAACAGAGTGGTTTCAAATCCCCAATGGGAAGGTGACGTCTCCGGGGGACTGGTAACTGTCAGAGTTTTCAACAGGAAACAGGGCTGCCTCGAGTGACATGCTTAATTATGGCTCAATTACGGAGTAGACGCAGGAATGTGGCTCCTGGAGGCGCTTGCCATCTATATCTAGTTTAGCGTGTATCCAAACTGCCATCGGAAGACAGTGAATCACAAACTAGGATGATCGACGCTTGGACCGCGGTGGCAAACCTTCTCGCACCAACCCCCAATCATTGAACAAAACAACAATATTGATTGTTGTAGTAATCACGGCATAAGCACATCAACGCGTGTTATGCCGTCTTGGCGGGCCTTTTCGGTCTCTACATCGTCCTCTAAGCCGACTTTGACTCCCGGCCATCCGAATTCAAGGGCCCGAGCGACTCCCTGCATTAACATCATCGGGTCAAGGGGGGGTGTGACGATGATCATATGCAAGGTGACACGATCGCCTTCTAAATTTTTACAGTTTTGCTGTTTCGGTTGGTTCTTCGGCAACTAGAAGCATGCCATGCCACCTGCTATCCCCATACTACCCTTACACCCACGCAGAAGGGGAGAAAAAAAAAGCAAATAATGATAAAATTATAAAAAAAAAAATAATCATAATAAAACCTTGATCCACAGACCCATCCGATGGGTCTTCTAGAAGCCTTCGATGCGCCCCACTCTTCGGGCGTTCCGCACTATTGCGAGTCTCCTAGTTTCACTTTGGAATGCTGTCACTCACTTCCGGTGCATTTTAGCTACTTTCGGATCTGAAGAAAGGGGCGGCGGTGCTTCAGCTCGTCCGGATAAACACTCGCCATGCTCACAGGGTTGCCTCCTGTCATTTAACTTGACCGCGAGTGTGGATTGGGCCAAGACGGTTTATACGAACGAGACATCACCTCCATTCTGTCCTCTTTAAAGATCTCGATTTCCCACCCCGCTCATCTGGAAAGTGGGTTTCATGATATTGTCTTGGTCCATCATCATCCTATATTTACATTGATCCATTTTTTCAGATCTATGGGCCCATCCTGCTAGAACGGAGAAGCGAATAACCAGAAGTGTCAAATCAAGACCCTGGTCCACCGAAGCGCCCCCATTGCCACGTTTATCTCCGTCCAAGGCCGGTGACATCGTGCCATGTCCACTTGAGAAAAACATTTTGCCTTTCACAGAAATCTTCATCCGGTGCGGAAGAAACATCCTTCCACTGGGTCGTTAGTGCTTGATCCACGGATTCAGTCATCATCTCATTTACGAACTACATCACTGTCTGAGCTTCCATGGCTTCATCATCCCGCTCCACCGGGAAGCGTCTCCCCATTAGCTGTCAAGCTTGCAGAACCCGGAAGATCCGCTGTTCTCGCGATGGAAGACCCTGCCAGACCTGTGTGCGAAGAGGTCTCGGCGCCGAGGACTGCATCTATCTCGGTCAACCCCGGCTATCAACAGAGCAAACGTCCACCACCGACCAAACAGTCCAGAACGAACTACTAGCCCGCATCAGAAACTTAGAAGGCATGCTTCAAAAACAGGTCAGCTCACAGGCTGGAACACCCACAGGTGGCGCCACTTCTCCGGTAGGAGGAGGTGCCCCCAGCGTCACGGGCTCATTTTCTGGGTCTGATGTCGGTGCTTTCGAACCGTGGGGTAGCACCATGCTCGGAAATATTGGAACTCTACAGACTTCACCTTCTGGCCATGTGCGGTATGTTCCAATGGCCTCGCAGTGGGAATCTGTCGTTGCGAAGAGCCCCGCCGCGGAGTGTTTGCGGAGTTCCGAGGCGGATATCGCGGACGATGACGATCTGCAGATCCCGCTAGCGAAGAATGGAAGTATCTCGCGTGCGGAGCTTCTTGCTCTTCTTCCCCCGAGTCGGTATTGTGATATTCTGAAAGAAGTTTATTTTCGTGTTTTCTCACCGGTAAGAACATAACTAGCGGTGAAGGAAAGTGCAAACGGAAAGTGTTTGGCTAACGTTGAACTTGACTAGGTCTTCCATATTCTTCATGACTTGACGTTTGAGGCGGAGTACCAGCAATTCTACCATGACCCAGGAAGTGTCTCGACATCATGGCTGGCCCTGATGTTCGCGATGCTCTCTATTGCCGTTAGCGCATTGGAGGATGATGATCCTCTTCTATCTGATCTTGGCCGCGAGAGAACGGTCAGCCGGAATATCAAAGTGCTTTCAGCACGGTATCGCTCTGCTGCTCTGCGATGCCTGGCGGCGGATGGAGTCATGACTCGTCATTCGATCAACTCCCTCCAAGCCTTGGTCTTGATCAGCTATGCACGTCTCCACCGTGGTCTACCCTTCTGGACACTATTGGGATTTACCCATCACGTCGCGATTTCTATGGGATGTCATATTGACCCAGAGAGATTTCCACTGGGTCCTATAGAGCGAGAAGAACGACGACGAGCC